ATCCTTTGTCGTCCGTTTTCGTCCTATTCGTCTTTTTCATCCTTTGCCGCCCTTTTTCGTCCTTTTCGTCGTTTGAGTACTTTTTCGTCATTTCTCGTCCTTTTAGTCCACTTTCGTCCTTTTTCGTCCTTTTCGTCCTTTTTCGTCCTTTTCATCCTGTTTCGTTCTGTTTCGTTTTTTTGTCCTTTTCGTCCTTTTCGTTCTTTTTCGTCCTTTTCGTCCTTTTTCGTCCTGTTTCGTCCTTTTCGTTCTTTTCGTCCTTTTTTGTCCTTTTGGTCCTTTTTCATCCTTTCCGTCTTTACTCGTCCTTTTTCATCATTTTTCGTCTTTTAGTCCTTTTCGTCCTTTTTCGTCCATTTCGTCCTTTTTGGTCCTTTTTCGTCCTGTTTCGTCCTTTTTCGTCCTGTTTCGTCCATTTTCGTCCTTGTTCGTCCTTTCTCATCCTTTTTCGTCCTTTTTCGTTCTTTTCGTCGTTTTCGTCCTTTTTCGCCCCTTTCGTCCTGTTTCGTCCTTTTCTTCCTTTTTCGTCCTTTTCATCTTTTTGGTCCTTTTCAACCTTTTTCGCCCTTTTTCGTCCTTTTTCGGCCTTATTGGCCTTTTTCGTCCTGTTTCGTCCTTATTATCCCTTTTCGTCCTTTTCGTCCTTTTTCGTCCTTTTTCGTCCTTCTAGTTCTTTTTCGTCCTTTTTCGTCCTTATTTGTCCTTTGTCGCCCTTTTTCGTCCTATTCGTCTTTTTCATCCTTTGCCTTCCTTGTTCCTCCCTTTTCGTCCTTTTCGTCCTTTGAGTATGTTTTCGTCACTTCTCGTCCTTTTAGTCATTTTTCGTCCTTTTTCGTTCTTTTTCGTCCTTTTCGTCCTTTTCGTCCTGTTTCGTTCTTTTTCGTTTTTTTTGTCATTTTCGTTCCTTGTCCTCCTTTTCGTCTTTTTTCGTCCTGTTTCGTTCTTTTTCGTCCTGTTTCGTCCTGTTCGTCCTTTTCGTTCTTTTCGTCCTCTTTTGTCCTTTTCGTCCTTTTTCATCCTGTCCGTCTTTACTCGTCCTTTTCGTTCTTTTCGTCCTTTTCGTCCTTTTTCATCCTGTCCGTCTTTACTCGTCCTTTTCGTTCTTTTCGTCCTTTTCGTCCTTTTTCATCCTGTCGGTCTTTACTCGTCCTTTTTCATCATTTTGTCTTTTCGTCCTTTTCGTCCTTTATCGTCTTTTTTTTTCGTACTGTTTCGTCCTGTTTCGTCCTTTTTCGTCTTTATTCGTCCTTTCTCGTCCTTTCTCGTCCTTTTTTGTCCTTTCTCTTCCTTTTCGTCCTTCTTCGTCCTTTTTAGTCCTTTTTCGTCCTTTTTCGTCCTTCTAGTTCTCTTTCGTCCTTTTTCGTTTTTTTGTCCTTTTCGTCTTTTTTCGTCCTTTTCGTTCTTTTTCGTCCTTTGTCGTTCTTTTTCGTCCTTTGTCGTCCTTTTCGTCCTTCTTCGTCTTTTTCGTCCTGTTTCGTTCTTTTTCGTTTTTTTTTGTCCTTTTCGTCGTTTTCGTTCTTTTTCGTCGTTTTCGTCCTTTTCATCTTTTGAGTACTTTTTCGTTATTTCTCGTCCTTTTAGTCCATTTTCGTCCTTTTCGTCCTGTTTCGTTCTTTTTCGTTTTTTTGTCCTTTTCGCCGTTTTCGTTCTTTTTCGTTCTTTTCGTCCTTTTCGTTCTTTTCGTCCTTTTTTGTCCTTTTGGTCCTTTTTCATCATGTTTTGTCTTTTCGTCCTTTTTCGTCCTTTTTCGTCCATTTCGTCTTTTTGGTCCTTTTTCGTCCTTCTTTGTTTTTTTCGTACTGTTTCGTCCTTTTCGCTCTTTTTCGGCCTATTGGCCTTTTTCGTCCTGTTTCGTCCTTATTATCCCTTTTCGTCCTTTTCGTCCTTTTTCGTCCTTTTTCGTCCTTTTTCGTCCTTCTAGTTCTTTTTCGTCCTTTTTCGACCTTATTTGTCCTTTGTCGCTCTTTTTCGTCCTATTCGTCTTTTTCATCCTTAGCCTTCCTTCTTCCTCCTTTTTCGTCCTTTTCGTCCTTTGAGTATGTTTTCGTCATTTCTCGTCCTTTGAGTCATTTTTCGTCCTTTTTCGTTCTTTTTCGTCCTGTTTCGCCCTGTTCGTCCTTTTCGTTCTTTTTCGTCCTTTTTCGTTCTTTTCGTCTTTCTTCGTCCTTTTTTGTCCTTTTCGTCCTTTTTCGTCCTTTGTCGTCCTTCTTCGTTCTTCTCGTCCTTTTCGTCCTTTTTCGCCCCTTTCGTCCTGTTTCGTCCTTTTCTTCCTTTTTCGTCCTTTTCATCTTTTTGGTCCTTTTCGTCCTTTTTCGTCCTTTTTCGGCCTTATTGGCCTTTTTCGTCCTGTTTCGTCCTTATTATCCTTTTTCGTCCTTTTCGTCTTTTTTCGTCCTTCTAGTTCTTTTTCGTCCTTTTTCGTTTTTTCGTCCTTTTCGTCCTTTTTCGTCCTGTTTCGTTCTTTCTCGTCCTTTTTCGTCCTTTTCATCTTTTGAGTACTTTTTCGTCATTTCTCGTCCTTTTAATCCATTTTCGTCCTTTTTCGTCCTTCTCGTCCTTTTTCGTCTTTTTCGTCCTCCTTCGTTCTTTTTCGTTGTTTTTGTCCTTTTCGTCGTTTTCGTTCTTTTTCGTCCTTTTCGTCCTTTTCCGTCCTGTTTCGTCCTTTTCGTTGTTTTCGTCCTTTTTTGTCCTTTTGGTCCTTTTTCATCCTTTTCGTCTTTACTCGTCCTTTTTCATCATTTTTTGTCTTTTCGTCCTTTTTCGTCCTTTTTCGTCCATTTCGTCCTTTTTGGTCCTTTTTCGTCCTTTGTTTTTTTCGTACTGTTTCGTCCTTTTCGTCCTTTTTCGGCCTTATTGGCCTTTTTCGTCCTGTTTCGTCCTTATTATTCCTTTTCGTCCTTTTTCGTCCTTTTTCGTCCTTCTAGTTCTTTTTCGTCCCTTTTCGTCCTTATTTGTCCTTTGTCGCCCTTTTTCGTCCTATTCGTCTTTTTCATCCTTTGCCTTCCTTCTTCCTCCTTTTTCGTCCTTTTCGTCCTTTTCGTCCTTTGAGTATGTTTTCGTCATTTTTCGTCCTTTTTCGTTCTTTTTCGTCCTTTTCGTCCTCTTTCGTCCTTTTCATCCTGTTTCGTTCTTTTTCGTTTTTTTTGTCCTTTTCGTCCTTTTTCGTCTTTTTTCGTCCTGTTTCGTTCTTTTTCGTCCTGTTTCGTCCTGTTCGTCCTATTCGTTCTTTTTTGTCCTTTTCATCCTTTTTCATCCTGTCCGTCTTTACTCGTCCTTTTTCATCATTTTGTGTCTTTTCGTCCTTTTCGTCCTTTATCGTCCTTTTTTGTTTTTTTTTCGTACTGTTTCGTCCTTTTTCGTCCTTATTCGTCCTTTCTCGTCCTTTTTTGTCCTTTCTCTTCCTTTTCGTCCTTCTTCGTCCTTTTTAGTCCTTTTTCGTCCTTTTTCGTCCTTATCGTCCTTTTTCGTCCTTTTTCGTCCTTTTCGTCCTTTTTCGTCCTTATTCGTCCTTCTAGTTTTTTTTCCTCATTTTTCGTTTTTTTTTGTCCTTTTCGTCCTTTTTCGTCCTTTTCGTTCTTTTTCGTCCTTTCCGTCCTTTTTCGTCCTGTTTCGTTCTTTTTCGTCCTTTTTCGTCCTGTTCGTCTTTTGAGTACTTTTTCGTCATTTCTCGTCCTTTTAGTCCATTTTCGTCCTTTTTCGTCCTTTTCGTCCTTCTTCGTCCTTTTCGTCCTGTTTCGTTCTTTTTCGTTTTTTTTGTCCTTTTCGTCGTTTTCGTTCTTTTTCGTCCTTTTCGTCCTTTTTCGTCCTGTTTCGTCCTTTTCGTTCTTTTCGTCCTTTTTTGTCCTTTTGATCCTTTTTCATCCTTTCCGTCTTTACTCGTCCTTTTTCATCATTTTTTGTCTTTTCGTCCTTTTTCGTCCTTTTTCGTCCATTTCGTCCTTTTTGGTCCTTTTTCGTCCTTCTTTGTTTTTTTCGTACTGTTTCGTCCTTTTCGTCCTGTTTCGTTCTTTTTCCTAATTTTTCGTCCTTTTCGTCCTTTTCGTTCTTTTCGTTCTTTTTTGTCCTTTTCGTCCTTTTTCATCCTGTCCGTCTTTACTCGTCCTTTTTCATCATTTTTTGTCTTTTCGTCTTTTTGGTCCTTTTTCGTCCATTTCGTCCTTTTTGGTCCTTTTTCGTCCTTTTTTGTTTTTTTTTTTCGTATTGTTTCGTCCTTTTTCGTCCTGTTTCGTTCTTTTCGTCCTATTTCGACCTTTTCGTGTTTTTTCGTCCTGTTTCGTCCTTTTGCGTCCTTTTTCGCCTCTTCATCCTTTTTCGTCTTTTTGCTCATTTTCGTCCTGTTTTTGAGTTAATTTTGGAACCTCGTTTTTTTTGAAAATTTAAACCTGTCTTGAAATTCTACGTCTGTTTGGAAAGAATTTGAAGGTTTTATCAGGTACTAGCCCCATCCATCCGCCCTCTTCTCTTAGAGGGTATCTCATTTGCCAAAATCGGTCTTATCTTGACGAGTACTAATGATTAACTTTTACAAAAATTGATGATAATTTGGAAACATTACGAGTTGACTTATGTGCGTAAGGCAGGAATTTTGAATATCTTCTCTAGAATTTAGTTGGGTATGCTTTAGTGGATTTTTCTTTTATTGGGTTTGTTTTTGTTTATAATTTATAAATTTCTTATTACATGTTTTTAATTAATGAAAAATAACAAATTGTTTTATTAATAGTAATGCACAACGATTAATGACCACTGGTATCGCAGTGAATAGTTAATCCGACATTTTCCACACACCCGGTATAATAATTAATAAACACTTAGGCAACCAACAATGCACTTTCTAGATTTTGTAGAGCGCAACATTTTGGTTGTATAAGGTCAAGTTTATTTATCTTCTGGTTTTTGTTACAGCATGCAAATCATAATGACAAAGCTGTTTATGTTTACAATTATATCTGAAGAATGGAAGGGATTTTATAAACAACCACAGAGAGAATGTCTGTGAATTTGGTACGTAACGGAGTACTGCCACAAATTTATTCGTAACAAAATCGTAAAACATTTACAAAATGTAATAACGTGAAAAATAATCCAAATTACAGTTCGTCTTTACCAGAAATCAAATTTTCGCCCTCTTTAAAGTTCAAGGACTTCCAAAAGCTTTTACTAGTCGCTAGTTCGTCGGTGGTTTTGAGCTGAATATCGCCAGGTTCAAACCCATTTACTTCAAGATATGTCAGCTCGTTATAACCCGTGGGTTTCCAGTCTACACCACCCAAAGTAGGTTTGCTACAACGCGAATACATAATAAAAAATTATAATTATGGTACATCGGTACTACTTACCCAGTTTTTGCAAACGCTACTAACATATCCAGAAGTACGTCTTTCATTTTGTGTTCGTCGGGAGTTAAAGGTATGGGCATGTACGTTGGTCCGAAGAAGTACTTAATGTCGGCACCATGACCAACAACTACAAAATTACGATTTAAACACGATCATTTTAAAGAAAAACGGTACTTTTTTGCTCGTTGTTGTCTCCCGGATAGCCGAACAGGTAATAATAGACTGGAGATTTGTTCACTTTGGCTTGCATACGTACTGCCGTTTCTGCTTCATTGAGGAAAAACCGATCGCTAAAAATCTGGATCAATTTTAGTACATTTTCTTTATTGATGTGTTCGTCACCAAGGTAATGTTCTTTGATTTTTCTGGCAGTACTTTTCCACAACGACGACGGTAAAGTGTAATTAAATTCTAAGAAAGCTGGAGCCCAGTCTTCCCAATGGGCATCAATATTGTCTAGATCTTCCATGAAGACTTAATAATTGAATTAGACAAGGTGGTACCGAATGAGGACTTACTTACACATTACAGGGAAGAACCCTTCATGGACTGCCATAGACGCAATCCACGGTACGTCGTATACGTCCCCATTCTTCAGTAAGTAGTACGGATCTGCACTTAAAAAGGGATTCGGGCCTCCTTTTTCAATGACAGGTCCAAACGGGACGCAAGGCATGAATTTATAGTTAAAAAACAACGAAAGTTTGTCTAAGAGATGTCGGTAGGGTCGCTGCTTCAAACAATCAACCATTACTCGAGTGGAAGTCGTAGGACATCCCACTGCATCAGATAGTTTCTTAGCCCTCATCAAAGGGTGTTCTTGGACGGAAAACGGGTTCAAAGCGAGACCGCTCTGAGCAAACCCTCGATGGAACAAACCTCTCGAAAGCTTAGAAAAGTAGTGCAAATGGACACTTGAACCTCCAGCTGACAATCCATTGATTGTTACAGAGTTTGGGTTTCCGCCAAAACTAGCTATATTGTCTCGAACCCACTTCAAAGCCAGTGTTTGGTCTTTAAGACCGGTGTTTCCAGGTACTACATCGTCTTCGGTACTTAAGAAACCCAAAATTCCCAAACGATAGTTAAAGTTGACGTAGATTACGTCCCGATCCATCAAATGGGTCGGGGGGGAGTAGGCGTTACCACTGCCATACAAATATGCCCCTCCATGGATGTGTACGACGACATCTAGGTTTTCGTCAGGATTTGGACTCTCACGGGGTACAAAAACATTAATATAGAGACAGTCTTCATCGCCTGTTATTTCACTAGGATTAATCATACTAGTTTGGGCACATTGGAATAACGAGGTGGCATTCCAGACACCACTCCAAGGATCAACGGGTTCAGGTTCCTGGTAGTACTAATTGTGAAAAAATTATCTAAAATAATAACTTACCTCAAAACGTCGCTCTCCAATTGGTGGTTTAGCAAAAGGGATGCCTTCAAATGCCGAAAATTTTCTACCTTCGAAGGAAACTTTGTGGTGGCCGCGAATCTCCCCAAGAGGTGTTTTCACTAGGGGGAGTTTCTCACCGGAAACACCTTAAAAAACGCTTGAAAAAAATATAAAACTACGCACGATTTACCTAAAGTGAGGAGCGTGAGGAAGGCGAGAAGTACCAACATTTTACGAACTGTCACAATGTTTAAGTAATATTTCCACCGTGTGATCAAAACCGAAGGTCACCGGACTATTTATAGTGCAATGGTTAATGGTACACCTGTTATCTATATTTTTCGATTATCGCAAAAGTGAGATATGTTTTTTAATGAAAGTCATGATGACCCTGAAAATTTTCTTGCTCACTGTGTTCGTTAATATAGTGTAAATTTTATGTACACTAATCAGTTAAAGTAAATTCTCCATGTTTATTTGTGTTAATTCCTAAGCGTAAGCTAAGGGAGTATTGTAATCGAGTCCACTGGATGACTGGCTACTTTTATGTTTTCTCGATCTTTCATGACACCTAGAGCACGACAAAATAGGTCTCTCGTTTCCGTCTGTCCGATTTTTTATTAGACAGTGATAATTTCCGGTTGTGCATATAAGTGTATTAGGCATACTAGATAAAAAGCTAATTAAATTTTGGATATACATCCCCACCAACAATAGGATGACGTCATCTCCAAAAATTGATGACGTCACTTCAAAATTATTCGTTTCCTCGATTTTTCAAATTCTTGATTTTAATTTTTCATTTTTTCATTTTTTGATTTTTTTTCTCGTTTTTATATCTTAATTTTTCCAGTTCTTCTTTCTGCTTTATAATTTTTCGGTTATTTAATTTTTCAAATTTCCAAGCTTTGATTTTTCAATTCCTCGATATCCAATTTTAATGTTTTTTAATTTTTGAATTTCTGTTTCTTTTTCAAATTTTTGTTTCTTCGATTTTTTTAAGTTTTTCATTTCCAATTTCTAGATTTTTCAAAGTTTTCATTTTATTCATTTTTCATTTTTCGATTTTGAATTTTTCGTTTCGGTTTTTTATTTATTTTCTTTATTTTTTCAGCTATCCGAATTTTTAATGTTTCAATTTTTTCTCAATTTTAATTTCTTCAGGTTTTCGTTTCTTCAAATTTTCTGTTTGCGAATTTTCAATTTTCCATTTTAGATTAAATTTTTCAGTTTTTCAATTTCCCAACATTTGAATTTTTCAATCTTTAAATTTTGAACTTTTTCGGTTTGGAATATTTCGTTTCGGTTTTTCTTTTCTTTATTTTTTCAATTATTCGATTTTTCAATGCTTCGAGTTTTTTCAATTTTTATTTTCCCAGTTTTTTGTTTCTTCAAATTTTAGATTTGCGATTTTTCAGTTTTTCATTTTAGATTTTGCAATTTTTCCATTTAAAATTCCCCGAGCTTCCAATTTTTAATTTTTCATTTTTTCAATTTTTCTAGTTCCAATTTTTCAGTTTTTCTTTTTTTGTTTCTTCAATTTTACGATATGCTATTCTCCGAGTTTTCATTTTTAAATTTTTCAGTTTTTCGATTTTTCAACTTTTAGATTTTTACTTTTTCGTTTCCTCAGTTTTTGACTTGCAATTTTTCTAGTTTTCGTTTTAAATGTGTAATAATTATAATTTAAAATTTTTTTCACTCTTTCAGTTTTACGATTTTAGAGTTTTGCCTTTTCTCAATTATTGGAATTTAAAACATTTTCATTTATTCGATTTTTATATTTTGTAATTTTGAATTTTTCAATTTCTCGACATTTAATTTTGAGTGTTTCGATCTTTCATTGTTACAGTTTTTCGATTTTACAATTTTTGGGTTTTTCAATTTTTTGATTCGACTTTTTTCTTTCCAATTTTTCGATTCATAAATTTTTTCGTTTTTTAATTTCTCCATTGTTTGTTTTTAAATATTCCAATTTTTTGTTTCTCCAGTTCTTCGATTTGCAATTTTTTGATTTTCCACTTTACGATTTTGTCATTTTTCGTTTTTTCAGTTTTTTGTTTTTGCATTTTTTTCTGAATTTTTTATTTTTCGATTTTCAACTTTTCATCTTTTTGAATATAAAAAAAGTGGAAAAATTGCAAAATTGTAAAATTGAAAAACCGAAAAATTATGAAGAAATAATCTAAAAATTGGAAATCAATAACTTGGAAAAATTGAAGAAACGAAAAACTGAAAATCGAAGGATTAATTGAGATTTTTAAAATCGAAAAAGTTTTAATTTCTTCAGTTTTTCAGTTCTTCAAATTTTCGTTTTGCGATTTTTCATTTTAGATTTGCAATTTTTGGATTTAAAATATTGCGAGTTTTCAATTTTTAATTTTATAATTATTCGATTTTCATTTTTCATTTCTTCAGTTTTTCTATTTGCAATTTTTCAGTTTTTGTTTTTTTATTGTTTCATACAATATGCTATACTCCGAGTTTTCATTCTTAAATTTTTCGGTTTTTCGAATTTTCAATTTTAAAATTTTTTACTTTTTCGTTTTTTTTTAATTTTAGATTTTTCAATTTTTCGTTAGTTCAATTTTGGATTTGCAACTTTTCTAGTTTTCGTTTTAAATGTGTAATAATTATAATTTAAAAAATTATTCACTTTTTCAATTTTACGATTTGGCGATATTTAATTTTTCAGTTTTTCGAACTTTCAATGTTAAAGTTTTTCTATTTTACAATTTTGACGATTCTATAATTTTTCGATTTTATAATGTGTGTTTTCCAATTTTCCCATTCGATTTGTTTTTCTTTCCAATTTTTCGATTCATTAAGTTTTTCGTTTTTTTAGTTTTTAAATCTTTAATTTTTTGTTTCTTCAGTGCTTTTCGCAATTTTTTGATTTTTTAATTTTTCGTTTTTTCGGTTTTTGATTTTTCAATTGCACGTTTTTGGAATTTTTCTATTTTTCAGTTATTGGATTTTCGAACTTTTTTATGTAAACAACTTTTCAATTTTTCGATTTTTAATTTTTCAGTCTTTCAGTCTTTCGATTTTACAATATTTCGCTTTTTCGATTTTGCACTTTTTAATTTTAAATTTCTGTTTCTTTTTCAAATTTTTGTTTCTTCGATTTTTAAGTTTATCATTTCCAGTTTCTAGATTTTTCAAAGTTTTCATTTTATTCATTTTTTTTTAATTTTGCGATTTCCCAAATTTTAAATTTTTTTGTTTTGATTTGAAAAGTCGAAAAACCAAAAAGTCCGAAAAAACGGAAATATCGAAAAATTTCAGATTGAAAAACAGAAAAATTATAAAATCAGAACATTGAAAAACAAGAAAAATTGCAAACCAAAAATTTGAAGAAACGAAAAACTGAAAAATTGAAAAATGGAAATAGTGAAAAATCGTTCAGTTTTTTTATTTATTTTCTATATTTTTTCAGTTAGTCGAATTTTTAATGTTTCATTTTTTTTCAATTTTAATTTTTTCAGATTTTCGTTTCTTCAAATTTTCTGTTTGCGATTTTTCAATTTTTCATTTTAGATTTTGTAAATTTTCGATTTATTTAAAATTTCCGAGTTTACAATTTTCAATTTTTCGATTCTTTCATTTTTCATTTCTTCAATTTCTATATTTGCAATTTCTCAGTAGATCTTTTTTTTATTGTTTCTTCAATTTTACGACATGCTATTGAATTTTTCAGTTTTTCAATTTCCCAACATTTGAATTTTTCAATTTTTAAATTTTGAACTTTTTCGGTTTGAGTTTCTTGAGTTTTTAGTTTTTAATTTCCCCTTTTTTCGATTTGGAATTTTTCGTTGCGGTTTTTCTTTTCTTTATTTTTTCAATTATTCGATTTTTCAATGCTTCGATTTTTTTTTTCAATTTTTATTTTCTCAGTTTTTTGTTTCTTCAAATTTTAGATTTGCGATTTTTCAGTTTTTCATTTTAGATTTTGCAATTTTTCCATTTAAAATTCCCCGAGTTTCCAATTTTTAATTTTTCATTTCTTCAATTTTTCTACTTCCAATTTTTCAGTTTTTCTTTTTTTCTTTCTTCAATTTTACGATATGCTAATCTTCGAGTTTTCATTTTTAAATTTTTCAGTTTTTCGATTTTTCAACTTTTAGATTTTTACTTTTTCGTTTCTTCAATTTTTCTAGTTTTCGTTTTAAGTCTGTACTAATTATAATTTAAAAGTTTTTTCACTCTTTCAGTTTTACGATTTTAGAGTTTTGCCTTTTCTCAATTATTGGAATTTAAAACATTTTCATTTATTCGATTTTTCAATTTTGTAATTTTGAATTTTTCAATTTCTCGACATTTAATTTTGAGTATTTCGATCTTTCATTGTTACAGTTTTACGATTTTACAATTTTTGGGTTTTCCAATTTTTTGATTCGGGTTTTTTTTTCCAATTTTTCGATTCATAAATTTGTTTCGTTTTTTAATTTCCCCATTTTCAGTTTTTAAATGTTTCAATTTTTTGTTTCTCCAGTTCTTCGATTTGCAATTTTTTGATTTTCCACCTTTACGATTTTGTCATTTTTCATTTTTTCAGTTTTTTGTTTTGGCATTTTTTTCTGAATTTTTTATTTTTCGATTTTCAACTTTTCATCTTTTCGAATCAAAAAAATGGAAAAATTGCAAAATTGTAAAATTGAAAAACTGAAAAAATATGAAAAAATAATCTAAAGATTGGAAATCAATAACTTGGAAAAATTGAAGAAACGAAAAACTGAAAATCGAAGGATTAATTGAGAAATTTAAAATCGAAAAAGTTTTAATTTCTTCAGTTTTTCATTTCTTCAAATTTTCGTTTTGCGATTTTTCATTTTAAATTTCCAATTTTTCCATTTAAAATATTGCAAGTTTTCAATTTTTAGTTTTACAATTATTCGATTTTCATTTTTCATTTCTTCAGTTTTTTGCAATTTTTCAGTTTTTCTTTTTTTATTGTTTCATACAATATGCTATTCTCCGAGTTTTCATTCTTAAATTTTTCAGTTTTTCGATTTTTCAATTTTAAAATTTTTTACTTTTTAGTTTTTTTTAATTTTAGATTTTTTCAATTTTTCGTTTGTTCAATTTTGGATTTGCAATTTTTCTAGTTTTCGTTTTAAATGTATAATAATTATAATTTAAAAAATTATTCACTTTTTCAATTTTACCATTTGTTAACATTTAATTTTTCAGTTTTTCGAACTTTCAATGTTAAAGTTTTTCTACTTTACAATTTTGACGATTCTATAATTTTTCGATTTTATAATGTTTGTGTTTTCCAATTTTCCCATTCGATTTGTTTTTTCTTTCCAATTTTTCGATTCAATTGTTTCTTCAGTACTTCTTTTCGCAATTTTTTGATTTTGTAATTTTTCGTTTTTTCGGTTTTTGATTTTTCAATTGCACGATTTTAGAATTTTTCTATTTTTCAGTTATTGGATTTTAGAACTTCTTCATTTAAACAACTTTTCAATTTTTCGATTTTTAATTTTTCAGTTTTTCGATTTTGCAATTTTTAATTTTAAATTTCTGTTACTTTTTCAAATTTTTGTTTCTTCGATTTTTTAAGTTTTTCATTTCCAGTTTCTAGATTTTTCAAAGTTTTCATGTTATTCATTTTTTATTTTTAATTTTGCGATTTTCCAATTTTTACATTTTTTTGTTTTGATTTGAAAAGTGGAAATACCCAAAGTCCGAAAAAACTGAAAAATCGAAAAATTTCAGATTGAAAAACAAGAAAAATTGCAAACGAAAAATTTGAAGAAACGAAAAACTGAAAAATTGCAAAATGAAAATAGTGAAAAATCGAAAAATTTGCAAATCGAAGAAATGAAGAAACAAAAGATTAAAATACTGAAACAGTGAAAATTGAGAAACTTAAAATAAAAAAAAAATAATAAACCGAAAAATTGATAAGAAAAAGAGCTGAATCGAATAGAAAAATTGGAAAACTCAAAAATTGTAAAATCGTAAATTGTAAAACTAACACTGACAGTTCGAAAAATTAAATATTGAGAAAATGAAAAGTAAAAAATCGAAAAATTAACAATGCAAAAACTAAAAATCGACTCCTGATTTTATAATTTTTCGTTGATTGAGTTTTTCAAATTTGCAATTTTTTATTTTTCATTTTCTCAGTTTTCCAATATGGAAATTTTAAATTTAGCAATTTTTGGATTTCGTGATTATCCGATCTTTCATTTCTTCGATTTTGCACTCTTTCGATTTTTTTGTTCTTTCGAATTCTCAAATTTACGTTTCTTCAATTTTTCCATTTTTTAGATTTTGTAGTTTCTAGTTTTTTTTTATTTTCTAATTTTTCAGTTTTGCAATTTTTCGACTTTTTTGATTCGAAAAGTTGAAAAATCGAAAAATTGAAAATTTAAATATCGAAAAATTTAAAAATGCAAATTTTGCTTTTCCATTATAATCAACCCAGTAGTTCTGAAGATGATTTCTTCGCCACATATAGGACAGACAAAGACCCGAAAAATAATTAAACCCATGCTCAAAAATTTATAGCTCGTCTTTAACAGCATTAAGATTTTCGCCTTCCAAAAAATCCAAAGACTGCCAGAACCCTCTGGTGCTCAATTCTTCCGTCGTTCTTAATTCAACTTCTTCAGGTTTGACGCCATTTACACTAAGATAAGTCAACTTATCATAGGAGGTGGGTTTCCACTCTTTTGCACCTAACTTCGCCTTTCTGGAAAACAAAAATCAAACCAAATAAACCAACAACCATTTACGTTTTTACCCATTTTTGGCAAGCGAAACTACCATTTCCAGAAGCAAATCTTTCATTTTGAGCTCGTTGGGGGTGAGCGGCGTGGGCTCAAAAAACGGACCAAAAAAGTACTTGGCGTCAGCACCATGCGTAACAACTGAAATTTGAGTCATAATTTTTTTTCAAAAAATTGAGTGACATACTTTTGTTGTCGTTGTTGTCACCAGGATAAGCAAAAATGTAATAATACACTGGCGATTTAGCTACTTTTGCTTGCATTCGAACTGACGTTTCCGCATCGGCTAGGAAAAATCTGTCGCTAAACATCTGGACTAGCTTGAGGACATTGTTTTTAGTGAAGTGGTCGTCGCCGAAATAAAATTGTTTGATTTTTTTGGAGACTGGAGCCCATTGTGACGGGTGGAGGGTGTAGTTGAATTCTAAGAACTCTGGTGCTAAATCTTCCCAGTTTTTATCAACGTAGTCCAAATCCTCGATGAAGTCTGAAAAGTTTATTATAATCAAAAACGGGAATATTTTAAACGTGAGTACTTGCTGTTGACAAGAAATAGACCTTCGTGAGACGTCGTGGAAACTACCCATGGGACATCATACACTTGCCCGTTCTTCAGTAAAATATAAGGATCTGTCGCTAGAAATGGTCTAGATCCTCCTTTTTCAACAACAGGACCAAAAGGTATACACGGCAAAAACCCATAAGTGAAGAAAGAACCAATTTTACTCAAGATGTGTTTAGACGGTCTTTGCTTCAAACACTCCACTAAACCTCTCGTCGACCTGGTAGGACACCCAACCGCCGCTCCCAGTTTTTTCGCTCTCATTAAAGGTTCCTCTTGGATCGTAAAAGGGTTCAAACCAACACCACTCTGCGAAAAACCTCTTTGAAACAAACCTCTAGACAGAGGCGAAAAATAGTGCAAGTGAACACTAGCTCCTCCAGCTGATAACCCAGTAATGGTAACAGAACTCGGGTTTCCACCAAAACTCGCGACATTATCTCGCACCCACTCCAGTGCCAAAACTTGATCCTTCAAACCATTATTTCCAGGAACCACGTCATCTTCAGTACTCAAGAACCCAAAAACCCCCAACCGGTAGTTGAAAGTGACGAAAACGACTTCGTGGTCCATCAGAAAATCGGGACGCGAGTAAGAGTGGCCGCTGCGGTACATAAAAGCACCTCCGTGGATATGAACCACGACGTCCAGATTGTCGTCAGGGTTTGGGGTTTGTCTGGGCACGTAGACGTTGACGTGAAGACAGTTTTCGTCTCCTGTGGTTTGGTCTGGATGGAGCATGAAGGTTTGGGCACACTCGGACAGAAAAGTGGCGTTCCAGGTGCCATACCAAGGTTCCACGGGTTCGGGTTCCTGTACCAACGATGCAAGATTTTGTTTCACTGTAATAGTGGTACTTACCTCGAAGCGTCTATTTCCGAGTGGGGGCTTGGCGAAAGGAATGCCTTCGAAAGCGGAAAAGGTGCGACCTTCATGGGACGTTTTGTGGTACCCTTGGACTGTACCAAGGGGTGTCAGTACCACAGGTTTTTGGCAATAAACGTTTAGAATTAGTAGACAAAAAATAAAAATGTTTATTAACATGTTGCTCGAACTTGTTTAATTCGTCATTAGTGAACCAAGGTACAAGATAAGGAAAAATCTGTTTGTTTACTTTATAGATATACGAGTCATTACTACTTCACACTTGTTATCGTTACAAAATATATTATGCAATTCATGCTTGACTTTTATTATACACTGAATTTACAAATCGGTTCTAGCGCTCTGTTCCAACTTTTTAAAAAAATGCCAAAACTGGACGGGAGCCAGGTCGTCGACTATTTTTAAAGTAATGTCTTCTGTTCTTGGACCTCTGATGTCAAGTGTTAGTTTTACAATTTTTGAGTTTTCCAATTTTTCGATTCGATTCAGCTCTTTTTCTTATCAATTTTTTGGTTTCTTAATTTTTTTCGATTTTAAGTTTCTCAATTTTCACTGTTTCAGTATTTTAATCTTTCGTTTCTTCATTTCTTCGATTTGCAATTTTTCGATTTTTCACTATTTCCATTTTGCAATTTTTCAGTTTTTCGTTTCTTCAAATTTTTGGACTGCAATTTTTCTTGTTTTTCAATGTTCTGATTTTATAATTTTTCTTTTTTTCAATCTGAAATTTTTCGATTTTTCAGTTTTTTCGGACTTTTTGGTTTCTCGACTTTTCAAATCAAAACAAAAAATGTAAAAATTGGGAAATCGCAAAATTAAAAATAAAAAATGAATAAAATGAAAACTTTGAAAAATCTAGAAATTGGAAATGAAAACTTCAAAAATCGAAGAAACAAAAATTTGAAAAAGAAACAGAAATTTAAAATTAAAAAGTGCAAAATCGGAAAAGCGAAATATTGTAAAATCGAAAAACTGACAAATTAAAAATCGAAAAATTGAAAAGTTGTTTAAATGAAAAAGTTCTAAAATCCAATAACTGAAAAATAGAAAAATTCTAAAAACGTGCAATTGAAAAATCAAAAACCGAAAAAACGAAAATTACAAAATCAAAAAATTGCGAAAAGAAGCACTGAACAAAAAATTATAGATTTAAAAACTAAAAAACGAAAAACTTAATGAATCGAAAAATTGGAAAGAAAAAACAAATCGAATGGGAAAATTGGAAAACACAAACATTATAAAATCGAAAAATTATAGAATCGTCAAAATTGTAAAGTAGAAAAACTTTAACATTGAAAGTTCGAAAAACTGAAAAATTAAATGTCGACAAATCTTAAAATTGAAAAAGTGAATAATTTTTTAAATTACAATTATTACACATTTAAAACGAAAACTAGAAAAATTGCAAATCCAAAATTGAACAAACGAAAAATTGAAAAATCTAAAATTAAAAAAAAACTAAAAAGTAAAAAAATTTTAAATTGAAAAATCGAAAAACTGAAAAATTTGAGGAATGAAAACTCGGAGAATAGCATATTGTATGAAACAATAAAAAAACAAAAACTGAAAAATTGCAAATAGAAAAACTGAAGAAATTAAATCTTTTTCGATTTTAAATTTCTCAATTAATCCTTCGATTTTCAGATTTTCGTTTCTTCAATTTTTCTAAGTTATTGATTTCCAATCTTTAGATTATTTCTTCACAATTTTCCGCTTTTTCAATTTTACAATTTTGCAATTTTTCCATTTTTTTTATTCGAAAAGATGAAAAGTTGAAAATCGACAAATAAAAAATTCAGAAAAAATGCAAAAGCAAAAAACTGAAAAAACGAAAAATTACAAAATCGTAAAGGTGGAAAATCAAAAAATTGCAAATCGAAGAACTGGAGAAACAAAAAATTGAAACATTTAAAAACTAAAAATGGAGAAATTAAAAAACGAAAAAATTTATGAATCGAAAAATTGGAAAGAAAAAACTCGAATCAAAAAATTGGAAAACCCAAAAATTGTAAAATCGACAAACTGTAACAACGAAAGATCGAAGCACTCAAAATTAAATGTCGAGAAATTGAAAATTTCAAAATTGCAAAATTGAAAAATCGAATAAATGAAAATGTCTTAAATTCCAATAATTGAGGAAAGGAAAAACTCTAAAATCGTAGAACTGAAAGAGTGAAAAAAATTTTAAATTATAATTATTACAGATTTAAAACGAAAACTAGAAAAATTGCAAATCAAAAACTGAAGAAACGAAAAAGTAAAAATCTAAAAGTTGAAATATCGAAAAACTGAAACATTTAAAAATGAAAACTCGGAGAATAGCAGATCGTAAAATTGAAGAAACAAAAAAAGAAAAACTGAAAAATTGGAACTAGAAAAATTGAAGAAATGAAAAATTAAAAATTTGAAACTCGGGAAATTTTAAATTGAAAAATCGAATAATTGAAAAAATAAAGAAAAGAAAAACCGAAACGAAAAATTTCAAATCGAAAAAATGGAAAAATTAAAAACTAAAAACTCAAGAAACTCAAATCGAAAAAGTTCAAAATTTAAAGATTGAAAAATTCAAATGTTGGGAAATTAAAAAACTGAAAAATTTAATGGCATGTCGTAAAATTGAAGAAACAATAAAAAAAAGATCTACTGAAACATAGCAAATATAGAAATAGAAGAAATGAAAAATGAAAGAATCGAAAAATTGAGAATTGTAAACTCGAAATTTTAAATAAATCGAAAATTTACAAAATCTAAAATGAAAAATTGAAAATTCGCAAACAGAAAATTTGAAGAAACGAAAACCTGAAAAAATTAAAATTGAAAAAAAATTGAAACATTAAACATTCGAATAGCTGAAAAAATAAAGAAAATAAATTAAAAAACCGAAACGAAAAATTCAAAATCGAAAAATGAAAAATTAAAAACTGAAACTCAGGAAACTCAAATCGAAAAAGTGCAAAATATAAGTACACATTGAAAGATTCAATAGTTGGAAAATTGAAAAACTCGAAAAATTGTAAATCAAAAAACTGAACGATTTTTCACTATTTCCATTTTGCAATTTTTCAGTTTTTCGTTTCTTCAAATTTTTGGTTTGCAATTTTTCTTGTTTTTCAATGTTCTGACTTTATAATTTTTCTTTTTTTCAATCTGAAATTTTTCGATTTTTCAGTTTTTTCGGACTTTTTGGTTTTTCGACTTTTCAAATCAAAACAAAAAAATGTAAAATTTGAGAAATCGCAAAATTAAAAATAAAAAATGAACAAAATGAAAACTTTGAAAAATCTAGAAATTGGAAATGAAAAACTTAAAAAATCGAAGAAACAAAAATTTGAAAAAGAAACAGAAATTTAAAATTAAAAAGTGCAAAATCGAAAAAGCGGAATATTGTAAAATCGAAATATTGAAAATAAAGAAATGGATGCGAAAAATGGATAAATGAGAAATTCAAAAATTAAAAAAATTTAAAATTGGAAAATCAAAGCTTGGAATTTTGAAAAATTGAATAACCGAAAAATTATAAAGCAGAAAATTTTAAGCCCGCCCACCTGCCCTATCTCAATTGTAATGATTTTCTCTTATTCGTCGTCAACTATGGGGGCGGAGCTCAAGTGCAAAATACTTATTTCTTTACAAGGAATTAAAAACATTACTATCGTGTTGGTCAAAGAGTGCTATGTATATTAAGAAAAAAAGGAAAGATGTAACACCCCGCCCACCCACCCCATCTCAATTGTGATGATTTTTTTATTCTTAGAAATTTAAAACACAATTTTTGTGAGGAAATATGGATTTTGCAATTAGGCTCCACCCCTCGCTCTGACAACGAATGAAAAATTCATCACGGTTGAGATCGAGACGGATGGGTGGGGCTTCTCTTTTGCTTTTCTTTTTTAGTTAATGCATTTAGTTTTCTTTGCACTTAAGAACATATTTTACATGGTAATTTCTCGTAGAAAAACAAGAATTTTACAATTAAGCTCCGTCCCTCGGCTTACGACGAATAGAAAAAAATAATCAGAATTGAGACAGGGTGGGTGGGCGGTGCCTATATTTTGTCTTTTTTTTTCTTAAAATGCATAACCATATTTTCACAACATGAAATTTAAGACATGGTAAAATAGTACATTTTTGCAAGGAAATATGGATTTTGGAATTATAGAAATTTTGCTTTTGAGTATTGTGTTGGTCAAAGAATACTATGTATATTAAGAAAAAAGGCAAGCTATAAAAACTATATTTAATACATTTAGTTTTTCTTTGCACTTAAGAACATATTTTACAAGGTAATTTCTCGTTGCGTCATAATGACAACACATTAGTGAACCAAGGTACAAGATAAGGAAAAATCTGTTTGTTTACTTTATAGATACGAGTAATTACAACTTCACACTTGTTATCGATACAAAATATATTATGCAATTCATGCTTGACTTTTAGAGTTTACAAATCGATTCTGGCGCTCTGTTCCAACTTTTCCAAAAATTGCCAAAATTTGAGGGGAGCCAGTTCGTCGACTTCTTTTAAAGTAATGTCTTCTGTTCTTGGACCTTTGATGTCAAGGTAAGTCAATTTATCGTCTTTGGTGGGCTTCCACTCGACTCCTGGGATGCTCGGTGTTCTAAAATTTTACTGTCTCACTGCAGTACCTACTCAAGTTGCTATATTTACCCCGTTTTTGCAAAAGAAATGAATATGTCTAAGAAAATATTCCTCAAAAGTAATTCATCTTCAGTTAAAGCGTCTGGAGCTAAGATAGTAGGTCCAAATAAATATTTAGCGTCGACACCATGACTCACATCTACAAAGACAGATTAATTTTATTAGTAGCCAAAGTCGATACCAACTTACACTTATCGTCTTCCTTTTTGTACCTAAAGTAGTAGTAATACACTGGCGATTTTGTAACGCTTGCTTGAATTCTAGCAACATTTTGCCCGTCTACTGTGAAAGTCCTGTCTCCATACATGTTACACAGAATGTCAAAATTTTCGGCATTAATTGCTTTGTCGTCAAAGTAGAAATTTTTAATCCGTTCCCACGTACTCGACCATAAAGAACTGCCGATGGTGTAGTTGAAATCCAGAAGAATTGGTCCAAACCGTTGCCAGTCAGTGTTAAAATCGAAAACATCTTTCGGAAGGACTAGAATCACTAAATTAAGACGACCAAAATAGTTTAAATTGTCATTAGTTACACATATCGAGCAAGTGGCCTTCATCAGCCACATTCGAACTAATCCACGGCAAATCGTTGACTTTTCCTTTTTTCAATAACTCGTATGGGTGTTCTTTCAAAAACGGGTTCGACCCTTTTTCCACAACAGGCGCGAAGGGAGAAATCGGGATTGTAGAATACCCAAAAAATAGCCCCATTTGACTAAGAAGCTGCCTGTGGTGTCTTTGTTTCAAACACTTAACCAAGATTGTCGTGTCTGAAACCGGACATCCCACAGCGTCCGCCAAAATTTTTGCTTTCTCTAACGCTCCCTCTTGAATTGAAAACGTATTCGCCGCTACCCCGCTCTGGGAATACCCTTTATGGAACAACCCTTTCGACATCTCAGATAAGTAATGGAAATGCACGCTTCCACCCCCTGCTGATATTCCATGTATGGTCACCGACTCAGGGTTACCCCCAAAACTCGCTATATTGTCCTGAACCCACTTCAGAGCCAACACTTGGTCTTTCAACCCATTGTTACCAGAAACCACGTCGTCTTCAGTACTCAAGAAACCCAAAATCCCTAAACGGTAGTTCAAGCTAACCAAAACGAGTTCTTTGTCCATCAAGACCACCGGATTGGCGAAAAATTGACCACTAGCGTACATATAGGCGCCTCCGTGGATGTGCACCATGACGTCTAGCTTGTCGTCGGGGTTGGGGTTTTCACGAGGAACGTAAACGTTAACGTGGAGACAGTCCTCATCTCCGTTGATGTCTGAGTTAAAAGTGTTAGTTTGGGCACAAAAACTGGGATGGTTGGCGCCCCAGATTCCGTTCCATGGTTCTCTGGGTTCAGGAGGCTAAGACAAAATTAGTATTCGGTTTGGGGTGAAGGGTACTTACTTCAAATCGTAGGTCACCGATGGGGGGTTTGGCGTATGGTATGCCCTCGAAGGACGAGAACGTGCGGTTTTGAATGGATTTTCGAAACGAGCCCTTTATAGATCCTAGTGGTGTTTGCACGACGGGTTGTTGGGCACAAATGTGGACCACTATGGTAAAATTAGTTTAAAGGGTGTATAAATGGTACTGAATTTATTTACCAAAAGGTAGGAGCCAGAAAAGGTGTGTCTTTGACATGGTGACTGAGCGTTTAAGTTTGTATCAGACCTGATAAATTATATAGGATGGGTTTCTAGTGGGATATAATTAAACTATTTTTACCTTGAAAACACGTTTGCTGATATGCGGAACAAGTCTGATAGTGACAACTGAAATTCGCTTTAATTTTTCAGACATCAATTAAGTCGCGCATGGTCGGTCAACAGTGGATTTAATAAAGTCATTTCAGACAATTGTATTACCTATAACAATCGCTTGCGTAAAACTGTATCAACGAAAATCGGTTTAAAATAATTGATTAAAGTTTAATGTACAGTATAAAATTGCGCAAGTATTATATAACAGATAACCTTCACTCAAAATAATGAAAAACACTTGAGACTTGTAATTAAATAGAATATGATTCATTCTAAAAGGGAACCAGATAAGAATGTGATATGGTACCACAAAGTTTCGTCATAGTGCTTTTATTGAATTTTGTACAACACTACTTAAATTAGAGTTCATCTTTGATATGCATTAAATTTTCGTTTTCAGCCAGATTCAAAGACGTCCAAAATTTCACCGGAGTGAGTTCGTCGACAGTTTTTAAAATAATATCGTCTTTTCTAGGTCCGGTAATGTCTAAATACGTTAATTTGTCACCTTCCACTGGCTCCCATTCCACTCCATCAATTTTCGGGACTCTAAAAAAAAATTCTAATTGTTGTCTGTGTTCGACAACAAACACTCACCCCGTCTTGGCATACGAAATTAGCATCCCCACAAGGACTTTTCTTACTTTTAGATCTTTCTCAGTTAGAGGTCTTGGATCAAAAACCGGCCCAAAGTAGTACCTAGCGTCGGCTCCATGAGGAACAACTAAGTACAAACATTTATTTAGGAAAAAACTACAACTTACTACTCTTTAACCATACATTTCATGTTTTCGTCATCACCCGGATATGAAAGGTAACCATAATAGACAGGCGAAGTGGCAGCTTTAGCCTGTAGCTTGACCGATTTTTCAGAATCTACAAGAAACATTCTATCCCCAATCATCTTCGTAAATTCCATGATCGCCTCTTTATCCATCTTCTTTTCCCCGAAGTAGTACTGTCTGATTTTTTTAGCAGTACTAGCCCACAGAGAATGGTCTAGCGTGTAATTAAAATCCAAAATTATTGGCGCTAAAGTTTCCCAGTCCTTGTCAAAGGTGTCAAAAGCATCACCGGAAACTAATCACACATTTACTAAAGTGTTTACTAAGATTGGGACCCCTTACATAGCATCGGAATGTATCCTTCATGGGCACAACTTGTAAAAATCACGGGCACGTCAATCACAGCCCCGCTGGCTAAAATTTCATATGGGTGTTTTGGCAAAAACGCGTCGGGACCTTTTTCCACTGCGGGCCCAAACGGGGCTACGGGTAACGTCCCAAATCCAAAGAACAATTTCATTGTGTCTAGAAGATGCTTGTATGGTTTTTGCTTCAAACACTTCACCATAGCTTTCGTGCACGAAAACGGACATCCAACTGCTTTTGCCAAAATTTTTGTCTTAGTCAGTGGTTCTTTTTGTAGCGAAAAGGAGTTAAGAGCCACACCGCTTTGGGAAAATCCTTGGCGGAACAAACCTTTGGACTGCGAAGAAAGAAAGTGCAAGTGGACGCTTGCGCCACCAGCGGATAATCCAGTCAGAGTTACAGATTTAGGGTTACCACCAAAACTTGCAATGTTGTTTTGAACCCATTTCAAGGCCAGAACTTGGTCTTTCATGCCGTTGTTTCCAGGAACGACTTCATCTTCAGTACTCAAAAAACCCAGTATTCCAACTCGGTAGTTGAAAGTAACGAAAACCACGTCTTGGTCCATTAGAACATCCGGGATGGAGTACATATGGCCGCTGCCGTACATGAACCCCCCGCCATGGATATGTACTATAACGTCTAGGTTTTTCCTAGTACTTAAAAGGTCCCGGGGTACATAAACATTGACGTAGAGACAATCTTCATCACCAATAATAACATCTGCTTGTGTTAGATTGGTCTGTGCACACTCAAACAGATGAACAGCATTCCAGGTTCCAAGCCATGGTTCTACCGGTTCCGGAGGCTAAACTCACACTTCACTAAACGTTTTTTTGCAACTAAGTACTTACCTCGAAACGTCGACTACCAATTGGTGGTTTCGCAAAAGGAATGCCTTCAAAGGCGGCGAAATCTCTGCCTTCGACCGATTTTTTGAACCACCCTTTGACGGTACCAAGTGGTGTCTGTACTATCGGGTCATCGCAAACACAGACTGGAAGAAAATTTTGCCATACTGGTAACGGTAATAATTAAAACTTACTTGAAACTTGTAATAACAGAAGTGTTAAAAACACGTCAAGGCGAAACATTGTCGGACGAAATAAACAACCGCACAGCGCTACTCAAGTGATAAATTAAATAATAGGTAATCGCTCACTTGTTTACGGTTTAGCAATTCACTATGAGTGGTGTAATTTTATCTATTTTTAGATATCATTTTATCGTTAGCTAAAGTTGTCTGTGTAAGTACCAAAGTACGTATTTTTATTATCTGCTACGAGTGGCACAATCAAATTCCATGGATTTCGACATTTCTCGTCTCCGGTTTGAACCAAATTCTCATTCTCTTGAAGACCAAAAGGCTTCCAAAAGCTCTTTGGTGGTACTTTCTTTCATGGTTTCTACACTAATAGCTTCTTTATTAAAATCCCAATCTTCAAATACGTTACTTCCAACTGACTCCATCTATCGTGGGTTTTCCAGGAAAATACTACAAATTTTTGTAAGACGAAGTCAAAAACATTGTTATCTTTTAGATTCCTACTCACATCTCTTAAATCTTTGGTGACAAAATAGATAAATTGAAAAAAATTTCTAAAAGGTATTCACAACACTACTAATGCTCCTCCCACTCGCACAAGCTCCACCCTAAAATCATTTCATGGCTCGAAGAGGAGGAACGCCGTACACAGTTATACCTAGTTGTGTCTACGTTATATGATTTTAAATATTTTTCTCTAAAAGCTGACGGCAAAGTCGTTTCTTGTATAAAAATAAAAATTTATTAAAAATATTTAGTCCTAGTCAAAATTGAATTCTTGTTTTACAGAAATGAAATGAAATAGGTTAGCAAAATGCAGAAAAGAGGTGGGCGGAGTTAAGTTTAGGTATTTCTGCAGTCTTACGAGCAAGCAATAGCCCCGCCCACCCACCCTCTCTTCATTCTGGTGATAATCCTTGATATTGTTAATTAATGACCGCATTTCTATCTTTTCCATTCCTATTCAAATCGGTTAAATGGTTGGTGAGAAAATAGATAAATTGTAAAAAAAATATATAAAAAGTATTCAGCTGGTGTTAAATAAGCATACCAGACATGAGAACTATATTAAAACGCAATATTAACCATGCTCCTCCTACTCGCATAAGCTCCACCTTATTAATCACTTCATTGGCCAGGAGAAGAGGAGTGGCGTTTACAGTTGGACTCATTCTGCCGCTTGTCAAATCAAAATCAGTTCCTACTTTACAGAAATAAAATGGGTCAGCAAAATCGAAAAAACGAAACATCGGATAATTAAGAAATTAAATTTCCATATTGGAAAACTGAGAAATTGAAATATCAAAAATTGGAAATTTGAAAAACTCAATCAACGAAAAATTATAAAATCAGGAGTCGATTTTCAGTTTTTGGATTGTTAATTTTTCGATTTTTTGCTTTTCATTTTCTCAATATTTAATTTTTCGAACTGTCAGTGTTAGTTTTACAATTTACGAATTTACAATTTTTGAGTTTTCCAATTTTTCGATTCGATTCAGCTCTTTTTCTTATAGATTTTTCGGTTTATTATTTTTTTTCGATTTTAAGTTTCTCAATTTTCACTGTTTCAGTATTTTATTCTTTCGTTTCTTCATTTCTTCGATTTGCAATTTTTCGATTTTTCACTATTTCCATTTTGCAATTTTTCAGTTTTTCGTTTCTTCAAATTTTTGGATTGCAATTTTTCTTGTTTTTCAATGTTCTGATTTTATAATTTTTCTTTTTCTCAATCTGAAATTTTTCGATTTTTCAGTTTTTTCGGACTTTTTGGTTTTTCGACTTTTCAAATCAAAACAAAAAATGTAAAAGTTGGAAAATCGCAAAACTTAAAATAAAAAATGAATAAAATGAAAACTTTGAAAAATCTAGAAATTGGAAATGAAAAACTTCAAAAATCGAAGAAACAAAAATTTGAAAAGAAACAGAAATTTAAAATTAAAAAGTGCAAAATCGAAAAAGCGAAATATTGTAAAATCGAAAAACTGAAAAATTAAAAATCGAAAACTTAAAAAGTTGTTTAAATGAAAAAGTTCTAAAATCCAATAACTGAAAAATAGAAAAATTCTAAAATCCGGCAATTGAAAAATCAAAAACCGAAAAAACGAAAAATTACAAAATCAAAAAATTGCGAAAAGAAGCACCGAAGAAACAAAAAATTAAAGATTTAAAAACTAAAAAACGAAAAACTTAATGAATCGAAAAATTGGAAAGAAAAAACAAATCGAATGGGAAAATTGGAAAACACAAACATTATAAAATCGAAAAATTACAGAATCGTCAAAATTGTAAAGTAGAAAAACTTTAACATTGAAAGTTCGAAAAACTGAAAAATTAAATGTCGACAAATCGTAAAATTGAAAAAGTGAATAATTTTTTAAATTATAATTATTACACATTTAAAACGAAAACTAGAAAAATTGCAAATCCAAAATTGAACAAACGAAAAATTGAAAAATCTAAAATTAAAAAAAAAAGTAAAAAATTTTAAAATTGAAAAATCGAAAAACTGAAAATTTTGAGGAATGAAAACTCGGAGAATAGCATATTGTATGAAACAATAAAAAAACAAAAACTGAAAAATTGCAAATAGAAAAACTGAAGAAATTAAAACTTTTTCGACTTTAAATTTCTCAATTAATCCTTCGATTTTCAGTTTTTCGTTTCTTCAATTTTTCCAAGTTATTGATTTCCAATATTTAAATTATTTCTTCATAATTTTTCGGTTTTTCAATTCTACAATTTTGCAATTTTTCCATTTTTTTTATTCGAAAAGATGAAAAGTTGAAAATCGAAAAATAAGAATTCAGAAAAAAATGCAAAAGCAAAAAAATGAAAAAACGAAAAATTACAAAATCGTAAAGGTGGAAAATCAAAAAATTTCAAATCGAAGAACTGGAGAAACAAAAAATTCAAACATTTAAAAACTAAAAATGGAGAAATTAAAAAACGAAAAAATTTATGAATCGAAAATTGGAAAGAAAAAACTCGAATAAAAAAATTGGAAAACCCAAAAATTGTAAAATCGAAAAACTGTAACAATGAAAGATCGAAACACTCAAAATTAAATGCCAAGAAATTGAAAATTTCAAAATTACAAAATTGAAAAATCGAGTAAATGAAAATGTTTTAAATTCCAATAATTGAGGAAAGGAAAAACTCTAAAATCGTAAAACTGAAAGAGTGAAAAAAATTTTAAATTATAAAATTATTACAGATTTAAAACGAAAACTAGAAAAATTGCAAATCAAAAACTGAAGAAACGGAAAAGTAAAAATCTAAAAGTTGAAAAATCGAAAAACTGAATAATTTAAAAATGAAAACTCGGAGAACAGCATATCGTAAAATTGAAGAAACAAAAAAAGAAAAACTGAAAAATTGGAACTAGAAAAATTGAAGAAATGAGAAATTAAAAATTGAAATCTCGGGAAATTTAAAACAAACTGAAAAATCGCAAATCTAAAATTTGAAGAAACAAAAAACTGAGAAAATAAAAATTGAAAAAAAAATCGAAGCATTGAGAAATCGAATAATTGAAAAAATAAAGAAAAGAAAAACCGAAACGAAAAATTCCAAATCGAAAAAAGGAAAAATTAAAAACTAAAAATTAAGAAACTCAAACCGAAAAAGTTCAAAATTTAAAAATTGAAAAATTCAAATATTGGGAAATTGAAAAACTGAAAAATTTAACAGCATGTCGTAAAATTGAAGAAACAATAAAAAAAAGATCTACTGAAAAATTGCAAATATAGAAATTGAAGAAATGAAAAATGAAAGAATCGAAAAATTGAAAATTGTGAACTCGGAAATTTTAAATAAATCGAAAATTTACAAAATCTAAAATGAAAAATTGAAAATTCGCAAACAGAAAATTTGAGGAAACCAAAAACTGAAAAAATTACAATTGAAAAAAAATTGAATTATTTAAAATTCGAATAGCTGAAAAAATAAAGAAAATAAATAAAAAAACCGAAACGAAAAATTCAAAATAGAAAAATGAAAAATTAAAAACTGAAACTCAGGAAACTCAAATCGAAAAAGTACAAAATATAAGTACAGATTGAAAGATTCAGTAGTTGGAGAATTGAAAAACACGAAAAATTGTAAATCAAAAAACTGAACGATTTTTCACTATTTCCAGTTTGCAATTTTTCAGTATTTCGTTTCTTCAAATTTTTGGTTTGCAATTTTTTTTGTTTTTCAATGTTCTGATTTTATAATTTTTCTTTTTTTCAAGCTGACTTTTTCGATTTTTCAGTTTTTTCGGACTTTTTGGTTTTTCAACTTTTCAAATCAAAACAAAAAAATGTAAAAATTGGGAAAATTAAAAATAAAAAATGAATAAAATAAAAACTTTGAAAAATCTAGAAATTGGAAATGAAAAACTTAAAAAATCGAAGAAACAAAAATTTGAAAAAGAAACAGAAATTTAAAATTAAAAAGTGCAAAATCGAAAAAGCGAAATATTGTAAAATCGAAATACTGAAAATAAAGAAATGTATGAGAAAATTGGATAAATGAGAAATTTAAAAATTAAAAAAAATTAAAATTGGAAAATCAAAGCTTGGAAATTTGAAAAATTGAATAACCGAAAAATTATAAAGCAGAAAATTGTAAGCCCGCCCACCCGCCCTATCTCAATTGTAATGATTTTCTCTTATTCGTCGTCAACTATGGGGGCGGAGCTTAAGTGCAAAATACTTATTTCTTTACAAGAAATTAAAAACATGCTTTTGAGTATCGTCTTGTTCAAAGAATACTAGGTATATTAAGAAAAAAGGCAAAATATAAAACCCCGCCCACCCATCTCAATTGTGATGATTTTTTATTCATAGAAATTTAAAATACAATTTTTGTGAGGAAATATGGATTTTGCAATTAGGCTCCGCCCCTAGGTTAGACAACGAATGAAAAATTCATCACGGTTGAGATCAAGACGGATGGGTGGGGTTTTTCTTTTGCTTTTCTTTTTTAATTAATACATTTAGTTTTCTTTGCACTTAAGAACATATTTTACATGGTAATTTCTCGTAGAAAAACAAGAATTTTACAATTAAGCTCCGCCCCTCGGCTTACGACGAATAGAAAAAAATAATCAGAATTGAGACAGGGTGGGTGGGCGGGGCCTATATTTTGTTTTTTTTTTTTCTTAAAATGCATAGCCATCTTTTCACAACATGAAACTTAAGACATGGTTAAAATGGTACGTTTTTGCAAGGAAATGCAGTGTAGTACTTGCTAAGATAAGACTGATTGTGGTAAACGACATACCTTCTAAGAACATAGAGGGTGGGTGGGCGGGGCTAGTACTTGTTAAGATAAGATTGATGTTGGTGAATGACTGAACACTGACGGGGCTACTGCTTGCTTATAAAAGATTCTATAGGAAAAAGTTAAAGTTAGCCCCGCCCACCCACCCTTCTCTCATTTTTTCTTCAGATATAACAAATAAATAGTATAACAAAAAAATTACATATTATACATACATACATATAATTCACCCCGTCTCCATTTCGGTGGCTCATTTTGTCTAGTCCGAATGAAAGGTGTGTCTGAATTGAAGAGAGATAAAATCGTAAGGGGCTAGTATCTGCTAAGATAACAATGATTTTGGTAAATCACATACCCTCTAAGAAAATAAAGGGTGGGCGGGAGGGGCTAGTACTTGCTAAGATAAGACTAATTGTGGCAAACCACATACCGTGTAATAAAATAGAGGGTGGGTGGGCGGGACGAAAACTTGCTACGATAGAACTGAACAATATTAAGGGTAGTCGCTGGAACGACGAAGGGGTGGGTGGGTGGGGCTACTGCTTGCTCATAAAATTAGAAAAAACTGACTTATTTTATTTAGTATAAAATGGTAGTCCTCTGGGTACTGATGTATTTTTAATACCTCTTTCTAATAAAACTCAGGCAACATTTGCTTTGTAACGCCAAATTTTGCCAACGCTAAAATGATACGTATCTAAGGATAGATAAAATTATCCCACTCATAACAGTAAATTGCTAAATCATAAACAAGTGATTAACGATTATTTAATATAGCTTGTTTAGCACTGTGCGACGGCATATTTCATCCGACCATGTGTCGCCTTGACGTGTTTTTATCGCTTCTGTTGCTACAAGTTTCGAGTAAGTTTTAATTATTATTAGCGCTGCCAATATTCAAAACCTGCTTCCAGTTTGTGTTTGCGATGACATCGAGCAACCTATAGTTCAGACACCACTCGGTACCGTCAAAGGGTCGTTCAAAAAATCCTTCCTAGGTCGAGATTTCGCAGCTTTTGAAGGCATTCCTTTTGCGAAACCGCCAATTGGTAATCGACGTTTTGAGGTAAGTTTGGTATCAAAAAAAAAAAACTTGTAGTATAGTGTGAGTTTAGCCTCCAGAGCCGGTGGAACCATGGCTTGGGACTTGGGATGCTGTACACCGCATCCAGTGTGCACAGACCAATCTAACACAAGTAGATGTTATTATTGGTTGGTAAATTATAAATGTATGAGTGTTTGTTGATGTTGGATGTTTTAGGTGACGAAGATTGTCTCTACATCAATGTTTATGTACCGCGTGACCTTCTAGACACTAAGAAAAACCTAGACGTGATAGTACACATCCATGGAGGAGGTTTCATGTATGGAAGTGGCCACATGTACGCGATGCCTGATCTCCTAATAGAAGAAGACGTCGTTTTTGTAACTTTCAACTACCGAGTTGGAATACTGGGTTTTTTGAGTACTGAAGATGACGTAGTTCCTGGAAACAACGGCATGAAAGACCAAGTTCTGGCCTTGAAATGGGTTCAAAACAATATTGCAAGTTTTGGCGGTAACCCCAAGTCAGTAACTCTGACTGGATTATCAGCCGGTGGTTCAAGCGTCCACTTGCACTACCTTTCTCCACAGTCCAAAGGCCTGTTCCACCGAGGGTTTTCCCAAAGCGGTGTGGCTCTTAACACCTTTTCGCTACAAAAAGAACCACTAACCAAAACAAAAATGTTGGCACAAGCAGTTGGATGTCCGTCTTCGTGCACGAAAGCTATGGTGAAGTGTTTGAAGCAAAAACCATACAAACATCTTCTAGATGCATTGAAGTTGTTCTTTGGGTTTGCGGTACTACCTGTAGCCCCATTTGGGCCCGTAGTGGAGACAGGTCCAGATTCGTTTCTACCAAAACACCCATACGACGCTTTAGCTTCTGGATCAGTCATTGACGTACCGGTGATTTTTTCAACTTGTGCCCATGAAGGATACATCCAGCCGCTATGTAAAGGTTCCTAATCTTGATGAACACTTTGGTAAAAGTGGGTTTAGTTCCAGGTGACTTTTTTGACAGCCGTGACGACTGGGAAACTCTGGCCCCGATTATTTTGGATTTCAATTACACGCTAGACCAATCGCTATGGGCTAGTACTGCCAAAAAAATCAAACAGTACTACTTCGGAGAAAAGAAAATCAATGAAGAGGCGATTTGGGAGTCCACGAAGATGTTTGGGGACAGAATTTTTAATGTAGATGCTGAAAAATCGGTCAGATTACAGGCTAAAGCTGTCACTTCGCCTGTGTATTATTACTACTTTTCTTATCCGGGTGATGACGAAAACATGAAGTGTATGTTGAAAGAAAATTGTAGATTTTGTCTAAACTTAAGATTGTAGTTGTTCCGCACGGAGCCGACGGTAAATACTATTTTGGGACGATTTTGGATCCAAGACCTTTAACTGATAATGGATTAAAAATGAGAAAAATTCTCGTGAACATGTTAATTTCGTATGCCAAGACAGGGTAACTCTTTCGTTATTTAAAGAAAGACAAGAATTATGATTTCTTTTAGAATTCCGAATATTGATGGAGTGGACTGGGAGCCAGTGAAAGGTGATAAATTAACGTATTTGGACATCACTGGACCCAGAAAAGAGGACTTTATTTTGAAAAGAGTAGACGAACTCACTCCGATTAAATTTTGGAAATCTCTGAATTTGGCAGAAAACGAAAATTTGGTGTTTGCCAAAGATGAACTGTAATGTAACTATAGTGTTGTAATAAGTATGATTTTTGGATTATTTAATTTACTAGCTGACCCCGTGAACTTCGTTTCACCTACAATTTAATTTCGAATCTGCAAAACCGAATGCTTTGAAATCTTGCAGATGTTTTAAACATATGATAAGCATAATAAATTTGTATTCAAAATATATTTACTTATCCCCTCCAAAAAATTGATGACGTCAGCCCAAAATTTTGCCAAATGAATCCTCTCTAAAATGTCCAAGATAGGATGAGACTGTACTTGTGATTTATCATTCCATTCAGAATTTTTGGTTTTGCTTATAGGGGGTGTCTCAAAAAAATTAATCACTGAGTCAATTTATTTTATTGATTGAATCAAGAATTGCAAAACTGAATTTTGAAATATTGCAGACGTTTTGAAGTTACTGTTTGACATGGTAGGTTTTTAATCAAAATATATCTGTTTATCAAGCCCAAAAACTTGATGACGTCATCTCAAGATTTTGCCGAACAAATCCTCAAGATAATATATAATAACTCAAGAGTTGAAGAAATGACTTCTTTAAGATCTTGCAGACGTTTTAAAGTTATTGTAAGCATGGTAAATTGTTAAGAATATTTACTTATTCCCCCCAAAAAATTGGTGGAACGGCTCACTCGATTTTCGCAGATAATTTTGGGAATACAATACAGTTATTTTTAGTATTACACTGCGCCAATCCAAGGTGGTATACGTGTTGATCCTAAATGTTGATTAGGTCATCACAAAATTGTGTGAAGAAAAGACTCAACTCGAAAATGCTGAATATGTTTCATTATACTTTTGGTGTGAAGGAAGTTCTAGCGAAACAACGTTCGATCAAATTTTTGACAATGGTTGATATAAATAAAACTCAGTAGATGCTCATACTCGAAGTATCTACTCGAATATCAAATCAAAATATTTCTAGTTTTTCTAGATGATAATACTACTAATACTACTAATACTTCAGTAGGTAACAGTTGATGCTCAAGTAGTATCTCGATACAACAAAAAAGGACAACAGTGACAGTGTTCAACCATCAAGGCAAAAATCGAGTCACCAAAATATCAGTTAGTATGGGGTAGACACCTCGAGTTGGGAATCTCTATGGTCAGTGTTAGAAAGAACGCACTGCACAATTTATGCATAAATAAAAGCTAATTATCTTACGACTTCAGTTTTAATTTATCGGATTCCATGATTCCTTCACTCGACAATGTTTAAATTTTGGGAAAATTTTCGAAACGATTGAAGTCGGTTGATCGAAGCTATACATTTGCATGATATAAATTAATAAATTTTAAACATAATTAATATCACTTATAATGTTTAAATATGATAAGCATAAATATATATGATAATTAAACCGAAACTCGTTGTCCTAAAACCCCGAAATTATTAAAAACAGATCAATTTGTTTAAACATTATTAAATTATCCCCGAAAATGTGCATTTTCCCGGCCAAAATATGAAAAATAATTTTTGCAGTCTCATGGTGACGTACGATGACGTCAATGTCACGTGAGCTACCTGTATAAAGGTCACGTTTTACGGTCCTTTGTGTTCAGTATTAATTTCTGTTTGATGGCGGCAAGATCGTCGCTTCATTTTGGCGTAAAAGTGGAGCGTTTTAGCGAATTTCTACTTTATTATTAATAAATATTACGGAAAATATGTTGTGTTAGTGCTGTGAACGCGAACGAAAATGGATATTTTTCCGAAAAGGACCGAAAACGAGGTAAGTACGACTTCAGTTTTAATTTATCGGATTCCGTGATTCGTTTATTCGACAATGTTTAAGTTTTGGAAAAATTTTCGAAACGATTGAAGTTGGTGGATCAAAGCTATACACTTTCGCGATATAATTAAATAAAATTTAAACATAATTAATATAATTCATAATGTTTAAATATGATAACTATCAATATATGATAATTAAACCGAAAACCATTTTCCTAAGAACACGAGGTTAGCAAAAACAAATTAGTTTGTTTAAACATTGTTAAATTAACCCCGAAAATGTACAATTTCTGATCTAAAATATGAAAAATAATTTTTGCAATATCATCGTGACGTACGATGACGTCACTGTCACGTGAGCTACCTGTTAAAAGGTCACATTTTTCGGTCCTCTGCGTTTATTTTTGATTTTGGTTTACTGGTAGCAACATCAGAGTCCGTTTTGGCTTAAAAGTAGGGCTCCTTTAACGAATTTCTTATTTATTATTAACAAATAATAGTGAAAATGTGTTGTATTAGTACTGTGAACACGAACGAAAATGGATATTTTTCTGAAAAGGACCGAAAACAGGGTAAGTTCGAGTTCAGTTTTAATTTGTCGGGTTCCGTGATTCGTTCGGTCGACTATGTTTAAATTTTGGGAGAATTTTCCAAACGATTGAAATCGGTTGATCAAAGCTATACATTTTCACGATATAAATAAATAAATTTTAAACATAATTAATATCATTTATAATGTTTAAATATGATAAGCATCAATATACGATAATTAAGCCGAAACTCGTTGTCCTACAAGCCCAATGTTATTAAAAACAAATCAATTTGTTTAAACAATGTTAAATTATCCCCGAAAATGTGCATTTTCCCGGCCAAAATATGAAAAATAATTTTTGCAATCTCATCGTGACGTACGATGACGTCACTGTCACCTGAGCTACCTGTATAAATGTCACGTTTTTCGGTCCTTTGTGTTCAGTATTAATTTCTGTTTGTTGGCGGCAAGATCGTCGCTTCATTTTGGCGTAAAAGTGGAACGTTTTAGTGAATTTCTAGTTTATTATTAATACATATTACGGAAAATATGTTGTGTTAGTGCTGTGAACACGAACGAAAATGGATATTTTTCCGAAAAAGACGGAAAACAGGGTAAGTACGACCTCAGTTTTAATTTATCGGATTCCGTGATTCGTTCACTCGACTTTGTTTAAATTTTGGGGACATTTTCGAAACGATTGAAATCGGTTGATCAAAGCTATACATGTTCACGATATAAATAAATAAATTTTAAACATAATTATTATCATTTATAATGTTTAAATATGATAAGCATCAATATACGATAATTAAACCGAAACTCGTTTTCCTACAAACCCGAAATTATTAAAAACAAATCAATTTGTTTAAACAATGTTAAAATATCCCCGAAAATGTGCATTTTCCCGGCCAAAATCTGAAAAATACATTGTTAAATTAACCCCGAAAATGTACTATTTCTGATCTAAAATATGAAAAATAATTTTTGCAATCTCATCGTGACGTACGATGACGTCACTGTCACGTGAGCTACCTGATAAAAGGTCAATTTTTCCATCCTCAGTGTTTAGTTTTGATTCCGGTCTGGTAGCAGCAACACTGGAACTCCGTTTTGGCTTAAAAGTAGCACGTGTTCGCGAATTTCTAATTTATTGTTAATAAATATTAGCGAAAATGTTTTGTGTTACGTGCTGTGAACACGAAGGATAGTGGATATTTTTCCAAAAATGCCCGATTTTTTTTGAAATATGTTGTTAATAACATGCATTCAGGACTGATAAAGTACGGCTTTGGAATATACAAAGTGCAGCGTTCATAATTCACAAAATACCGTATGCATCATTTTTAAACTACGGCGTCCAAATTTACAAAATACGGTGTCCTTCAGCCATGCTATCAAACCCTAGTCCTCTCTTTTAATGGCAAGACGCACTCCAGACCTCCTCGTATTGTTTGGTTCTTGCTGGGCAACAGCAACGAGCGAGCACAGTCATCGCTCTTTGGCGGCAAACGTGGAGAATTGTATATTGTAACTTTTGTAATTGAAACATTTTGTACTGTATATTGTATGTGTTACTAACTTAACTTGGGTCTTGCCAATTTAGCTCCAGTGGTGCAAATGCTTTGTTTTCACGGTGCATTTGCTTGGGTTTTAATTTTGCAACAGTGCATTCTTTGGTTCCGAGACTGAATTCTCCATGTCGTCAGACGCTCTGGCCTGGGGGGGTTCTGCTGGCCCTTAGACGCTGGGTCATCATCCTAAACGGATGAGGTTCATCATCCTAAACGGATGAGGTCAGTCGGCCCTGTATCTATGCGGCGGCGTTCTCCCTTGGGTGTGTGAGCGCTGCGACCTATAGATTTGGTTTCGAGTTCCATCGGTGTGCTTGCTTAGGTATTAATTTTGCAACAGTGCATTCTTTGGTTCCGGGTTTGAATTCTCCATGTCGTCAGACGCTTTGGCCTGGGGGGTTCTTTTGGCCCTTAGACGCTGGGTTGCATCGTTCTTTGAGAATGAGGTAAGACGACCTTGGATTTATGCGGCTGCGTTCTCCCTTGGGCGTGTGAGCGCTGCGACCAATAGATTTCGTCCCGAGTTCCATCGGTGTGCTTGCTTGGGTTTTCATTTTGCAACATTTCTCAATTTTTGGTGCAATTTCTTCCGGTGGTGTATTGGGTACTAACTTTGCATTTGTATTGTATCTGAATTGTATCTGTATCTGTAGTGTATTCTGTATTGTAGCTAGATTGTAGGTACCTGTATTGTATTTCCGTTGTATTGTACTGTATAACGTTCTATCCCTCATTAACAATTCCTAGCCCTCTCCTTTCCTAGCGAGATCTGCTCCAGACCTTCCCGTGGTTCTTGCTGAGCATCAACTATCGAGGACAGAAAATTCAAATTCAAAACCAGCAAAGTTTCACAAAAATCATGAAAATCGCTCGTTGGTGGCCAACGTGGAGCAAAAGAGACTTTTGTAACTCAACTAACTTTGTTAACTCGATAATCTTAAGGAAAAAAAAATATATTACATTTAATTTATCATTTATAAGGACAAATAGTCATTTGCCACGCCGATGCTCATTTTTAGATTAAATCCTCACAAAACGCGTAAATTTGTGTCCGGGGAGATACAATGTTTGCAAGTAGATACACAGTACATCGGGTAGATGTTCAGGTATATAAGAGTAATAATGAAGTAGGTACTTCGTACTTCGAATACTCTTATCTACTCAGTTTTATTCATACCGTCCAATGTCTCGCTTCAATATTTGATTATGATGTTGATTATGAGCACAACGCTGATCAACTTCCGTATCCGAATTACCCTTGAAATAAATCATCGCGATTTGCACCTTAGGTAGTTCGTCGCACATTTGATTGACTTCGTGGACCTATGTCAGCTTGTCGTCTTCTCGGCATTGTAATGAACTTCATAAAACGACACAGAATTATTTTCACAATCAATCAAATCTGTAAATTTTGTCTCGAGAATTTTAAAATATCGAAAACTTCAAATTAAATCCTCGAATAACGGTAAAGTTTGAGGTTTTGTCGAAACCAACAAAGTGAATATACGTAAATAGAATGGCAGATCAAAATTAATAAGAAACTTTCGCAATGCTTAACTAAATTCACTTTAACGAACACTTTTCTTAAAATAAACGATGTTTTTTGTTACGAAAAAACAAAGAACGATTTGAAATGCAATAATACTTTTCACAATCGCACGGAAGAAATAGTTTTGTATGACACGTCAGTCAGGCGACAGGTCCATCAGGAACGCCAACTATTCAAATTCATTCGAAGTGGCGATTCCCATGCAAAATTTTTAATTTTTTTTTATGTTTTAGCCGTCTTATTTTTTATAAATTTTCTTACGTATAAACCTTGTCCTGACAATAAGGTACACGTAAAAAAAAGAATCGTCCAATTCGGTGCAGTCGTTCTGAAGTTATTAGCGTACATACATTTCGGCGATTCATTTTTATTAATATAGATTTAATTTGGAAACTTTATTTTTTTTTCAGCTTTGTTTGATTATTGAATTTTTTCATTTTCTATTAAAATAATATATTTTTTAGTTCTTTTTGGATAAAAATATTACAATAGATTCTTCTTTTCACAACAAGAAACGTCAAACGTGTTCAAATGATTAATTTTTGTTGGAATTGTACTCCTCCCCTCGGTCTGACAACGAATGAAAAATTCGTCACAATTGAGATCGGGGCGGGTGGGCGGGGATTATATTTTGCACTTTTTTTTAATACCTAGTCTTTTTTCCACAACATGTTTCAAATGGTAATAAATGTGTGTAGGGAGAAATCTATTTGGCAATTATTATGCTCCGCCCCTAGAACTGAAAACGAATCAAAAATTCATTACAATTGAGATCGGGAGTGGCTTAATGTGTGTTTCTTTCTTAATACATACATAGATGTTTTTTAAAAGTAAAATATAAGCCCCACCCACCCACCCTATCTCAATTGTGAAGATTTTTTTTATTCGTCGTGAGCTGGGGGGTGGAGCTTAATTGCAAAATTCTGATTTTTTTTTTTTGGAAATCTCAAAACTAAAATTTCGAAAATTTGAAAAATTAAAGAAAAACTGAAGACTGGAAAAATTGAAAAACCTCAAAATCGAAATATCCAAAAACTGAGAAATTAAACAATTGAAAAATTGAGAAACCAAAAATTCAAAAAGTGAAGACTAAAAATCGAAACGTTAAAAAATTGAAAAACTGATAATCACAAAACCTAAAAAATTAAAAAATTGAATAATTGAAAAAATGAGAAATCGAAAACCTAAGAATTTGTGAACGTGAAATTTGAAAAATTGCAAAAACCAAATATTTAAAAATCGTAAATAAAATTGAAGAGGAGAAAAATTGAAACCTTAAGAAAGTCGAAAAACTGAAAAATCAAAAACCAGAAAAATCGACAAATTGAGACTTTAAAAAAGCCAAAAATTGAAAAATTGAAAAATCGAAATATTCAGAAATCGAAAAATTGAAGACAGAAGTTGAAAAAACGTAAAACTGAAACATCGGAAAATTGATAAATCGAAAAATTGAAAATCGCAAAATTGAAAAATTGAGAAATTGTAAAATCGAGAAATTGAATAATAAAAAATCTGAAAAATCCCAAAACTGATATTTCGAAAAATTAAAAAATGAAGGAAAAACTGAAGAATGGAAAAACTGAAATATCCAAAAACTCAGAAATAAAAAAATTGAAAAATTAATAACCCAAGTCGCAGAATTGAAGAAATGAAAAATTGAAAAACTGAGAGTTTATAAAAGTCAAATTTGAAAAATTGCGAAAACCAAATCTTGCAGAGGAAAATAATTGGAAAAACGTAAAATTCAAACATCGGACAATTGAGGAATCGAAAAATTGAAAATCCTGAAATTAAAAATTGAGAAATTGTAAAATCGGAAAATTGAATAATAAATAAACTGAAAAATTCCAGAACTGAAAAAATTGAAAAATGAAAGAAAAACTGAAAAGAAAAACAAAAAAATTTCAAAACTGAAATACCAAAAACTGAGAAATTAAGAAATGGAAAAATTGAGAAATCAGAAAAGTCAAAAAAATTAAATCGAAAAATCAAAAACCTTAAAAAATTGAAAAATTAAAAAATCAAAAACCCAAAAATCGCAGAATTGAAGAAATAAAAAATTGAAAAATAAAGTTTAATATAAAAGTCAAATTTGTAAAATTGCAAAAACCAAATATTTCAAAATCGTAAAACTGAAGAAGAGAAAAATTGAAAATCCTGAAATTGAAAAATTGAAAAATCGAAAAATCAAAAAAATGAAGTCGAAAAATCGAAACCTTGGAAAATAAAAAAATTGAATAATCAAAATCTGAAATCAAAACTTTAAAGAATTGAAAAACTGGAAAATTGAAGCAAGAAAAATGGCAAAATCAAAACATCGATTAATTGAAAAATCGAAAAATTGAAAATTTAAAAAAGTCGAAATTTGAAAAACTGAAAAATAGAAATATTTAAAAATCGCAAAATTGAAAAAACGTAAAATTGGAACATCGAACAATTGAGAAATCGAAAAATTGAAAATCGTGAAATCGAAAATTGAGAAATTGTAAAATCAAAAAATTGAATAATAAATAATCTGAAAAATCCCAACACTGAGATTTCTAAAAATTGAAAAATGAAAGAAAAACTGAAGAATGGAAAAACTGAAAAATTTCAAAACTGAAATATCCAAAAACTCAGAAATAAAAAAATTGAGAAATTGAGAAATCATACTCAAAAAATTGAAATGGAAAAATCGAAACATTAAAAAATTGAAAATTGAAAAATTAAAAACCCAAAAAGTCGCAGGATTGAAGAAATGAAAAATTGAAAAGCTGAGGGTTTATAAAAGTCAAATATGAAAAATTGTGAAAACCAAATCTTTAAAAACCGCAAAATTGCAGAGGAAAAAAATTGGAAAAACGTAAAATTGAAACATCGGACAATTGAGGAATCGAAAAATTGAAAATCCTGAAATTAAAAATTGAGAAACTGTAAAATCTGAAAATTGAATAATAAATAAACTGAAAAATCCCAAAACTGATATTTCGAAAAATTAAAAAATGAAAGAATAATTGAAGAATGGAAAAACCGCAAAATTTCAAAACTGAAATATCCAAAAACTGAGAAATTAAAAAACTGAAAAATTGAGAAATCAGAAAAGTCAAAAAAATTATATCGAAAAATCAAAAACCTTAAAAAATTGAAAAATTAAAAAATCAAAAACCTAAAAAGTCGCAGAATTGAAGAAATAAAAAATTGAAAAACAGAGTTTAATATAAAAGTCAAATTTGAAAAATTGCAAAAACCAAATATTTCAAAATCGTAAAATTGAATAAGAGAAAAATTGAAAATCGTGAAACTGAAAAATTGAGAAATCGAAAAATCAAAAAAATTAAGTCGAAAAATCGAAACCTTGGAAAATGGAAAAATTGAATAATCAAAATCTGAAAAATCAAAATTTAAAGAATTGCAAAACTGGAAAATCGAAGCAAGAAAAATGGCAAAATCAAAACATCGGTTAATTGAAAAATCGAAAAATTGAAAATTTAGAAAAGTCAAAAATTGAAAAACTGAAAAACAGAAATATTTAAAAATCGCAAAATTGAAAAATTGAGAAATTGTAAAATCGAAAAATTTAATAACAAATAATCTGAAAAATCCCAAAACTGAAATTTCGAAAAATTAAAAAATGAAAGAAAAACTGAAAAGAAAAACAAAAAATTTCAAAAACTGAAATACCAAGAACTGAGAAATTAAAAAATTGAAAAATTGGGAAATCAAAAAGTCAAAATAATTAAATCGAAAAATCAATACCTTAAAAAATTGAAAAATTAAAAACCCAAAAAGTCGCACAATTGAAGAAATAAAAGATTGAAAAATTTCAAAAACCAAATCTTAAAAAATCGCAAAATTGCAGAGGAAAAGAATTGGAAAAACGTAAAATTGAAACTTCGGACAATTGAGGAACGAAAAATTGGAAATCCTGAAATTAAAAATTGAGAAATTGTAAAATCGGAAAATTGAATAATAAATAAACTGAAAAATCCCAAAACTGATATTTCGAAAAATTAAAAAATGAAAGAAAAATTGAAGAATGGAAAAACCGAAAAATTTCAAAACTGAAATATCCAAAAACTGAGAAATTAAAAAACTGAAAAATTGAGAAATCAGAAAAGTCAAAAAAATTAAATCGAAAAATCAAAAATGTTAAAAAATTGAAAAATTAAAAAATCAAAAACCCAAAAAGTCGCAGAATTGAAGTAATAAAAAATTGAAAAACTGATAGCTTAATATTAAAGTCAAATTTGGAAAATTGCAAAAACCAAATCATTCAAAATCGTAAGATTGAAGAAGAGAAAAATTGAGAAATCGAAAAATCAAAAAAATGAAGTCGAAAAATCGAAACCTTAGAAAATAGAAAAATTGAATAATCAAAAATCTGCAAAATCAAAGTTTTAAAGAATTGAAAAACTGGAAAATCGAAGCAATCGAATGTAGAAAAATGGCAAAATCAAAACATGGATTAATTGAAAAATAGAAAAATTGAAAATTTAGAAAATTCAAAAATTGGAAAACTGAAAAATAGAAATATTTAAAAATCGCAAAATTTAATAACAAATAAACTAAAATTTCTAAAAATTGAAAAATGAAAGAAAAACTGAAAAATCCAAGAACTGAATTACCCAAAAACTAAAAAGTAAAAAATTGAAAAATTGAGAAATCAAAAAATTGAAAAATCACAAAATTGACATGTTTTGAAAAAAAAAAGATCAATTTTATTTTTTTAGCAACTTCCATTTACAAGAAATATTACAAGCAATGATAATCCTAAGAAATTTAAATTATATAACATGATAAAACGTCTGATTTTTATCTGGGACACCTGTAAAGTGTGTCGAGTACTAGCTTATCTAAAAATAATGTATGTGTACATAGCAACCAACAATGTCAAGATATGGCCTGTGGATGTCACTCGTTCTGTAACAATTCCAACGAGTTCCAAAAATTCTGATTCCCCAAGTTGTTATTAGTTTGTAGCTGAATATCTTCGACGTCGTAACCAGAAATATTTAGATAATTTAAACGATGAGACTTGACTGGTTTCCAAGTAACTCCATTTATACGAGGTGTGCTAAAAATTAAAACAACAGATTTATTATTAATTTAAGACTATATAACCACGACGCACCCCGTTTTGGCATACGAAACCAACATGTTTACCAAGAGATCTTTCACTTTAAGTTGATCTTGAGTTAGAGGTTTCTCGCTCTCGACGTAGTAAAAATACTGAAGATCTTCGGCGTGGGCGATAACTGAAACAATGTGGATTAAAAAAGTGTAAAAAAATGTGCATTACTGTGTACTTTCATTTTCCCCAGTATAACTCAAGTCATAGAGATAGACGGGAGATCTAGTAGCTGCGGCCTGCAATTCAACACTCCTTACAGTATCACGAACTGTCATTCTGTCTGTCGAAAACCTGATGAAGTCGTTGAAATTCCGATCAGTAAGGTCTGTATTTTCCCCAAAATAAAAGTCTTTGATTTTTTTAGCAACTTGACCCCAGTTTTCTGGCGCAACTGTGTAGTTGTAAAAGAACACAAACGGCAACGCTTGGTCCCAGTTCTGGTTGATAGTCGCTGTGTTATTTCTGAATTCTGGAACAAGCTATAGCAAAAACACCAAATTTTATGGTTAGCTACCTGCAATATTCGCATATCCGTCGTGTTCCACGAAGGACGCCATCCAGGGCAAATCTTGTACATGTTTCTTCGACAATAATTGTCTCGGTTTTTCCGGAAGGAACGCGTTTGCTCCTCTTTCAACAACCGGACTGAACACAACTAGTGGATGAAACCCATACCCAGTGAACAACAGAGTTTGATTTAACAACTGTTGGTACGGTTTTTCTTTCAAACATTTTTTCAGTTCCGTGGTGGGGGTTTGCGGACACCCCACAGCCAGTGCTATAGTTTTAGCTTTGTCTAGCGCCCCCCCTTGTAGAACGTACGGATTTAAGGCACACCCACTTTGTGAGAAACCACGATGGAACAGACCGGTGCTCATGGGTGATAAGTAGTGCAACTGGACGCTAACACCCCCAGCTGAGGCTCCAGTTAGCGTAACCGACCCTGGGTTACCACCAAAACTCCTAATATTCCTTTGTACCCATTTCAAAGCTAGTACTTGATCTTTCAAGCCGTTGTTGCCAGGGAGAACGTCGTCTTCAGTACTCAGGAAGCCCAAAAGACCTAGACGATAATTAAACGTGACGAAAATGACGTCGTGGTCCATTATGTAGCCAGGGCCGGCGTAGATGTGGCCACTTAAGGCCATGAACCCACCACCATGGATGTCCACGATTACGTTTAGGTTCTCGATGGGGTTTATATGGGTGCGGGGGACGTAAACATTGACGTATAGACAATCTTCTTCGCCCGACATCGATGTTAATTGGTAAAGGGAGTGAATTTGGGCACACTCTCGAGGACGGGTTGCATTCCATACATCGTGCCATTTTTCGATGGGTTCAGGGGCCTGCAAAATATTTTTCAAACAGAAGTCTGATCAGAATTCTAAGTAGGTCTGATTATCTTGACCTTATTGTACCCATAAGGAAAACCCAGGTCATAAAAATGTATATCCCCAGCAGTTCCAAGTAAACATCAAATGACTAAGATATTGGTAAACTTTCCAAGAGTAATCGCGTATTAAATTGATAAAACAAAATACCTCAAAGCGTCGTTGACCAACAGGTGGTTTTGCATACGGAATGCCCTCAAAAGCTGCAAATCTTCTCTGGCCAAAGGACGTCTTGTACTGGCCGCAGACTCTACCCAATGGGGTTGTAACCACGGGATTCCTAACCTTCGAACTTAAACAGGTTGCTGGAAGTTGTTTAAAGTTAACAAAATAACCCGGAATTTGTTCGGTGTGAAAATGTACCACTTAAAAATAGTACCACTAGAGCACTTAAAGTCACCATCGTGGCGGTCAGTACGAACGCTTCTGCACAACAGATGGGAATTTCGTCGGGTGGGATTTATTTATCACGGTTTGAGGTCAAGATGATTAAAGAAGGTAAGGTTCACGTTATTTATCTAAAGAGTGAATTAATGTTAAATACGTTCTTTATCATATTTTTTTGATTTTTGCATATTTTGATAATTTTGGTGGTTTTTATTTTCCATACTTTCTCAATTTTTCGCTTTTTCGCCTTCTCGAGTTTTCGACTCCTCGATTTTAAGATTTTTTGATTTTTCGATTTCTCGATGTCTCACTTTTTGAATTTTTCGATTTGTCGATTTTTTGATTTTTTATATACTTTTCGGCTTTTCGATTTTTCGAGGTTACCATTTTTGAAATGTCCGATTTTTCATTTTCCCATATTTTTTAAATTATCGATTTTTCGATGTTTCAGTTCTTCAATATTTTAACGTTTTTGGATTTTCAGTATTCCGATTTCTTAAAAAAATCGAAAAATTGAAAAGTGGAAAAATCGAGAAATCAAAAGAACGAAAAACTAACAGATCGAAAAGTCAAAAAAATTGCTGTGTGGAAGTTGAAAAATCAAAAATTCGGAAAATTCAAATATCGAAAAACCCGAAAATTCAAAAATTGAGAACTCGAAAAATCGTGAAAATAAAAAAATCCAAAAATCGAAAAACCTGAAAACCAAAATCCAAAAATAGAGAACCCCAAATTTGGAAAATACAAAAATCGAGTACGCGAAAAGTCAAAAATATGAATTTCAAAAACTGAAACATCGAAAAGTTGAAAATTCGGAAAAATGAAAAATCGAAAAGTCAAAAAATTCAACAAAACCGAAAACACATGTATACAAAAAAATTATTAAAATATTCTTACTTATATTGGGTGTTCTGATTTCCATGCCACTTAGTATATATTTGTCGGCTTTTCGATTTTTCGAGGTTACCATTTCTGAAATATCCAGTTCTTCAATATTTTTAATTTTGTAACAGATTTTGGCGTTTCTGATTTTTCAGTTTTTCGATTTTTTAAGTTTGTGATTTTTCGACTTTACTTTTTAGACTTTTCGATTTTTCTATTTTTTAATTTCCCAATTTTTGGATATTTCGTTCAATTTTCTGATTTTTCAGTTTTTCGATTCTTCAATTTTTCTTTTGTTTCCCAATTTTTCGATGCTTCAGTTCTGGGTTTTTTTAGTATTTCGACTTTTCGATTTTTCGATTTATGACATTTTACTTTTGGAATTTTTAATTTTACGTTTTTAAAACATTAGGATCCGATTTATAGAAAGCAATGTTAAAGTTAATTCGCGATTAACTTTTAACTGAGGTCCGTTGCCAGGCAACGCACATATTTTAACCAATCACGGGCTCATATTCCACATTTTAATTCTGTGTTGAACTAATCGAGGATTAAATATTTAACTCGCTGTTCTATAAACCGGCCCTAGTAGATCTTTCAATTTTTCGACTGTTGTTCGATAAATCGAGAAATCAATAAATTGAATAGTGGAAAAATCGAGAAATCGAAAGAACAAAAAACCAAAAGATCGAAAAGTAAAAAAAATTGCAGTGTGGAAGTCGAAAAATCAAGAAATTAAAATTTCAAAAAGTTGAAAAATCAAAAATTCGGAAAATTCAAATATCGAAAAACCTGAAAATTCAAAAATTTAGAGAACTCGAAAAATCGTGAAACTAAAAAATCCAAAAACCGAAAAACCGAAAAACAAAAATCCAAAAATAGAGAACCCCAAATTTGGAAAATTCAAAAATCGAGTAATCGAAAAGTCAAAAATATGAATTTCAAAAACTAAAAAATCGAAAAGTTGAAAATTCGGAAAAAAAATCGAAAAGTCGAAAAATTCAACAATCAAGAATTCAAAAAATCGAAAAACCGAAAACACACATGTATACAAAAAAATTATGAAAATATTCTTACTATTACTGGGTGTTCTGATTTCCATGCCACTTAGTATATTTTTCGGCTTTTCGATTTTTCGAGGTTACCATTTCTGAAATATCCGATTTTCCAATGTTTTAAATTTTTCGATTTTTCAGTTCTTCAATATTTTTTAATTTTTAACAAATTTTGGCGTTTCTGATTTTCCAGTTTTCTAATTTCTCAATTAGTCTATTTTTTTATTTTCCCATTTGTCGACTTCCCAAAGTTTCGATTTTTCAGTTTCTCAGTTCTTCATTTATCCGATTTTTTAAGTTTGTGATTTTTATATTTTTTAATTTCCCAATTTTTGGATATTTCGTTCAATTTTCTGATTTTTCAGTTTTTCAATTCTTCAGTTTGTCTTTTGTTTTTCAATTTTTCTGTACTTCAGTTATGGTATTTCGACTTTTTGTTTTTTAGATTTCTCGATGTCTCAGTTTTTGAATTTTTCGATTTGTCGATTTTTCGATTTTTTATATACTTTTCGAAACCGAAAAATCCAGAAATCCAGAACTCGAAAATTTGGAAAATACAAAAATCGAGGGAACGAAAACTCGAAACACTGGAAAATGGAGAAACCGAAATATCGGAAAATCGCAAAGTCGAAAACTGAAAAAAGCGAAAACTCGAAATACTGAAAAATCGAAAAATTGAGAAGTGGAAAAATCGAGAAATCGAAAGAACGGAAAACTAAAAGATCGAAAAGTCAAATAAATGGCAGTGTGGAAGAAATTAAAATTTCAAAAAGTTGAAAAATCAAAAATTCGGAAAATTCAAATATCGAAAAACCCGAAAATTCAAAAATTGAGACTCGAAAAATCGTGAAACTGGAAAATCCAGAAATCGAAAAACCGAAAAACAAAAATTCAAAATTTGGAAAATTCAAAAATCGAGTAATCGAAAGTCAAAAATATGAATTTCAAAAACTGAAACATCGGAAAGTAGAAAATTCGGAAAATCAAAAAACCGAAAACACACATGTATATAAAAAATTATTAGAATATTCTTACTATTACTGGGTGTTCTGATTTCATGCCAATTAGTATATTTTTCGGCTTTTCGTTTTTTCGAGGTTACCATTTCTGAAATATCCGATTTTTCAGTCTTCCAACATTTTAAATTTTCGATTTTTCGATTTTTCAGTTCTTCAATATTTTTTAATTTTTAACAAATTTTGGCGTTTCTGATTTTTCAGTTTTCTAATTTCTCAATTAATCTATTTTTTTATTTTCCCATTTGTCGACTTCCCAAAGTTTCGATTTTTCGGTTCTTCAGTTACGGTATTTCGACTTTTTGATTTTTCGATTTCTCGATGTCTCAGTTTTTGAATTTTTCGATATGTCGATTTTTCGATTTTTTATAAACTTTTCGGCTTTCCGATTTTTCGAGGTTACCATTTTTGAAATATCCGATTTTTCAATTTTCCAATGTTTTTTAAATTTTAAATTTTTCAGTTCTTCAATATTTTTTAATTTTTAACCGATTTCTCAGTTAACCCGAAAAGTCAAAAAATAGAAAAATCATGAAGTCGAAAAGTCGAAGTGGAAACTGAAAAATCCAGAAATCCAGAACTCGAAAATTTGGAAAACTCAAAAATCGAGGGAACGAAAACTCGAAACACTGAAAATGGAGAAACCGAAATATAAAGTCAATAAATAGAAAAATCATGAGATTAAAAAATTTGAAAATCTGAAAATCGAAAAATTGTAAAATTGAAAAATCTAAAAGTAGAAAAACTAAAAATTCCAAGTCCAAAAGCCGAAAAATAAAAATTTCAAAAATCGAAACATCGAGAAATCCAAAAGTCGAAATATCGGAAAAACCCAAAAACTGCAAAAAGCGAAAACTCAAAATACTGAAAAATCAAGAAATCGAAAAATCGAAAAATTGAAAAGTGGAAAAATCGAGAAATCGCAAAAACGAAAAACTGAAAGATCGAAAAGTCAAAAAAATTGCAGTGTGGAAGTCGAAAAATCAAGAAATTAAAATTTCAAAAAGTTGAAAAATCGAAAATTCGGAAAATTCAAATATCGAAAAACCCAAAAATTCAAAAATTGAGAACTCGAAAAATCGTAAAACTAAAAAATGCAAAAATCGAAAAACCGAAATCCGAAAATAGAGGACCCCAAATTTGGAAAATTCAAAAACCGAGTAATCGAAAAGTCAAAAATATGAATTTCAAAGTTGAAAATTCGGAAAAATGAAAAATCAAAAAGTCGAAAAATTCAACAATCAGAAATCCAAAAAATCGAAAAACCGAAAATACATGTATACAAATATTATTAAAATATTCCTACTATTACTGGGTGTTCTGATTTCCATGCCACTTAGTATATTTTTCGGCTTTTCGTTTTTTCGAGGTTACCATTTCTGAAATTACCCGATTTTTCAATTTTCGATTTTTCGATTTTTCAATTCTTCAAATCAATATTCTTTAATTTTTAACAAATATTGCTGTTTCTGATTTTTCGGATTTCTAATTTCTCAATTAATCTAGTTTTTTAATTTTCCCACTTGTCGACTTCCCAAAGTTTCGATTTTTCAGTTTCTCAATTCTTCATTTTTTCGATTTTTTAAGTTAGTGATTTTTCGACTTTACTTTTTTGAGTTTTCGATTTTGCTATTTTTAATTTCCCAATTTTCGGATATTTCGTTCAATTTTCTGATTTTTCAGTTTTTCGATTCTGCAATTTTTCTTTTGTTTCCCAATTTTTCGAATTTTTTAGTATTTCGACTTTTCGATTTTTCGACTTCTGCATTTTTCGATTTCTGACATTTTACTTTTGGAATTTTCTTTCAATTTTTCGACTGTTTTATACTTCAATTTCTCAATTTTTCAATTTTTCGATATTTCAATTTTTCAATTTTCGGAGTTTTTAAATTTTCGATTTTCCAGTTTATTTTTTAAATTTCCGATTTTTCCAAAAATTGATAAACATCGAAACATCCGAATCTCGATAAATCGAGCTCTCAAAAAATTGAAAAACCGAAAATTTAAAAATTCGGAAAATTGACAAATTAAACTTCTATATTTAAAAGTGAAAATTCGAGAAATCGAAAATTCTAGAACTTTAAAAATTGAAAAATGAAAATATCGAAAAGTTGAAAAATTGAAAAATTGAAACATAAAAACGGCGAAAAATTGAAAAAACGAAAAACTGAAAATCCAAAAAAAATCAAAAAATCCAAAATTCGACAAATCGAAATATCGAAAAAAATATCCAAAAATTGAGAAATAAAAAAACTGGAAAATCGAAAAATCGAAGTATTGAAGAACTGAAAAATCGAGACTCTGTGAAGTCAAAAAATCTGAAAATCAAAAACAGAATAATTGGGAAATCGGAAAACTGAAAATTTAGCAACGTCAAAAATTGAAAAATTGAAAAATTGAAAAAATAAATACTGAAGAACTGAAAAATAAAAAAATCGAGAAATCCAATCATAAAAAATAAAAATTCGAAAATCTTAAATTTAAAAATCAAAAAACTGAAAAATCGACAAATCGAGAATTCGAAGCCCCAGAATTTAAAAAATTGAAAAATTGAAAAAACAACTGAATCGAAACATAGAAAAATTGGAAAATCGAAACATTGAAAAGCCCAAAAGCAAAAAATCGAAAAACCGAGAAATCCAAAAATAAAATATTGAAAAATTCAAAAACCGAGACATCGAGAAATCGAAAAATCAGAGAAGCGAGTAATTGAACAATCAAAAGATCGAAACATCTAAATTCGATAAATCGAGAAATCAATAAATTGAAAAGTGGAAAAATCGAGAAATCCAAAAAACAAAAAATTAAAAGATCGAAAAGTCAAAAAAATTGCAGTGTAGAAGTCGAAAAATCAAGAAATTAAAATTTCAAAAAGTTAAAAAATCAAAAATTCGGAAAATTCAAATATCGAAAAACCCGAAAATTCAAAAATTGAGAACTCGAAAAATTGTGAAACTAAAAAATCCAAAAATCGAAAAACCAAAATCCAAAAATAGAGAACCCCAAATTTGGAAAATTCAAAAATCGAGTAATCGAGAAGTCAAAAATATGAATTTCAAAAACTGAAAAATCGAAAAGTTGAAAATTCGGAAAAATGAAAAATCGAAAAGTCGAAAAATTCAACAATCAAAAATTCAAAAAATCGAAAAACCGAAAACATACATGTATACAAAAAATTATTAAAATACTCTTACTATTACTGGATGTTCTGATTTCCATGACACTTAGTATATTTTTCGGTTTTCGATTTTTCAAGGTTACCGTTTCTGAAATATCCGATTTTCCAATGTTTTAAATTTTCGATTTTTCGATTTTTCAGTTCTTCAATATTGTTTAATTTTTAACAAATTTTGGCGTTTCTGATTTTCTAGTTTTCTAATTTTTCAATTAATCTATTTTTATTTTCGCGTTTGTCGACTTCCCAAAGTTTCGATTTTTCAGTTTCTCAGTTCTTTCGTTTTTTTAAGTTTGTGATTTTTCGACTTTACTTTTTTGATTTTTCAATTTTTCTATTTTTTAATTTCCCAATTTTTGGATATTTCTTTCAAATTTCTGATTTTTCAGTTGTTCGATTCTTCAATTTTCCTTTTATTTTTCAATTTTTCGATACTTCAGTTAAAAAATCCCATTTTTTAGTATTTCGCCTTTTCGATTTTTCGAGTTCTGGATTTTTCGATTTCTGACATTTTACTTTTGGAATTTTCAATTTTACGTTTTTAAAGTATTACATCTTTCAATTTTTCTACTGTTTTATACTTCGATTTCTCAATTTTTCAACTTTTCGATTTTCCAATTTATTTATTAATTTTCCGATTTTTCTAAAAAGTGATTAACATCGAAAATTTAAAAATTCGGAAAATTGACAAATTAAAATATAGAAGAACTGAAAAATCGATAAATAGATAATTCGAAACCCCAGAATTTAAAAAGAAAAATTGGAAAATCTAAAGTTTAACGAAAAATTGAAAATCCAAAAAATGAAAAACGAGAAATCGAAATATTGAAAAATCCCAAAACAGAAAGAAAAATCCAAAAATTTGAGAATTTAAAAAATTGCAAAACTGAGACATGGAAAAACTAAAGAACCAATATAGAAAAATCGTAAGCTTAAAAATCGAAAAATTGAAGAAATGAAAAAAATCGAAATTTTGGGAAGTCGGAAAATGGGAAAATAAAAAAAGGTTACTTTTTAGTAATCGGTAAAGTGAAAATTTAGAAACGTCAAAATTTGAAGAGAACAAAAATTGAGAAATCGTATCATTGAAAAAACTTCATGTATTTATATAAATCCTGCCTTTGTTTGTCACAATACTGCTAAATTTACAACTCGTCTTTCATTAAAAGCAGATTTTGATTTTCCAAAAATCCTAAACTTTTCCAAAACTCTCTAGGTGCTAGTTCCTTTACAGTGACCATTTTGACTTGATCCAGTTCAAACGTTGGCACATCCATGAATCTTACATCTGGAAACTCGACAGGCTCCCACTTGCGATCAGCAATTCTTGGTTTCCTACAAAAAAATTATCAGCTTTGGTTTGAACACCCAATTAAGTAGATACCCAGTTTTGACAAAAGTTAAGAGCATATCCATCAAAATATCTTTCATTTTTAGTTCGTCGGGTGACGGTGGCCTGTTGTACATGCTAAAGAAAAAGTACTGGGCATCTGCACCATGCGCGACCGCTAAAAACACCCATGATAACCACGTCAAGACATCGAGAGTACTTACTTTTGTCGCTGTTAGAGTCTCCAGGGTACCCAAACTGATAGTAATATACAGGAGACTTATTAACTTTTGACTGCAGTTTAATAGCGGCTTCCACGTCTACCAGAAACCGGTCACTTAACATTTGCACTAATTTGGGAAACGTCTCCATGGTTATCTCCTGATTTCCCTCTAAGTAGTACTCTCGAATTTTCTCAGCGGTACTCACCCACAACGTTTCAGCCAAAGAATCTCTATAATCTAGCAAAAACGGGGCTACTTGTGTCCAGTTCTTACTAAGTTGGTCCAACTCCTTGATAAAAACTATCAAAACGTCGTAAATGTTCAAAAATAGCTATAAACTTACAAACTCCTGGGAATAACCCTTCGTGAGACACCGTGGAAGTAAGCCATGGCAAATCTTGAACTTTCCCTTTCAGTAGAAGATAATATGGGTTTTTGTTCAAGAACGGTTGGGACCCTTTTTCCAAAACCGGCCCGAAGGGAGTTGCCGGAAGGAAATGGTGCCCGAAAAATAGTGGCATTTTCGTCAACAAATGCTTGAAAGGTCTTTGTTTTAGACAGTCCACTAGAACCGAAGTCGAAGCCGTGGGGCACCCGACAGCTTCCGCCAACGTTTTAGCTTTCTTTAAAGGTTCTTCCTGGAGGGCGTACGAGTTCAGAGCTACTCCACTTTGGGAGAACCCTTTTTGGAACAAACCGACTGACATATCAGAAATGTAGTGAAAATGTACACTCGAAGCACCCGCTGATAACCCCGTGAGAGTCACACTCTCCGGATTACCCCCGAAACTCCCAATATTCTCCTGCACCCATTTTAGAACCATCACTTGATCTTTTAAGCCGTTGTTCCCCGAAACCACGCTATCTCCAGTACTCAAGAAGCCAAAAATCCCCAACCGGTAGTTGAAGTTCACGAAAATGACTTCTTCGTCCATGAAGTACTCGGGATGGGAGTAGGAGTGGCCACTCCCGTACATGAACATACCCCCATGGATGTGCACTATCACGTTGAGTCGTTCTTCGGGGTTGGGGTACTCGCGTGGTACGTACACGTTAACATAAAGGCAGTCTTCTTCACCTAGTAAAACATTTATTTAATTTTGATGGTTTAAGGTCAAGATGATTAAAGAAGGTAAGGTTCACTTTATTTATCTAAAGACCGAATTAATGTTAAAAAAAATGTTTATCATATTTTTTTGATTTTTGCATATTTTGATAATTTTGATGGTTTTTTATTTTCCATACTTTCTTAATTTTTCGATTTTTCGCCTTCTCGACTTTTCGACTCCTCGATTTCTCGATCTTTTGGTTTTTCGATTTTTCAATGTCTCAGTTTTTGAATCTTTCGATTTGTCGATTTTTCGATTTTTTATATACTTTTCGGCTTTTCGATTTTTCGAGGTTACCATTTTTGAAATGTCCGATTTTTCATTTTCCGATGTTTTTTAAATTTTCGATTTTTCGATGTTTCAGTTCTTCAATATTTTGACGTTTTTGAATTTTCCCAAAAACTGAAAAAACGAAAAAAAATCGAAAGTCCAAAAATTGAAAAATTGAGAAGTGGAAAAATCGAGAAATCGAAAGAACAAAAAACTAGACGATCGAAAAGTAAAAAAAATTGCAGTGTGGAAGTCGAAAAATCAAGAAATTAAAATTTCAAAAAGTTGAAAAATCAAAAATTCGGAAAATTCAAATATCGAAAAACCTGAAAATTCAAAAATTTAGAGAACTCGAAAAATCGTGAAACTAAAAAATCCAAAAACCGAAAAACCGAAAAACAAAAATCCAAAAATAGAGAACCCCAAATTTGGAAAATTCAAAAATCGAGTAATCGAAAAGTCAAAAATATGAATTTCAAAAACTGAAAAATCGAAAAGTTGAAAATTCGGAAACAAATCGAAAAGTCGAAAAATTCAATAAACATACATTCAAAAAATCGAAAAACCGAAAACACACATGTATACAAAAAATTATGAAAATATTCTTACTATTACTGGGTGTTCTGATTTCCATGCCACTTAGTATATTTTTCGGCTTTTCAATTTTTCGAGGTTACCATTTCTGAAATATCCGATTTTTCAATGTTTTAAATTTTCGATTTTTCGATTTCTCAATTCTTCAATATTTTTTAATTTTTAACAAATTTTGGCGTTTCTGATTTTCCAGTTTTTTAATTTCTCAATCAATCAATTTTTTATTTTCCCATTTGTCGACTTCCCAAAGTTTCGATTTTTCAGGTTTTTGACTTTTCAATTTTTCGATTTTTTAAGTTTGTTTTTTTTCGACTTCACTTTTTTGACTTTTCTATTTCTGAATTTTTCAACTTTTCGATATTTTAATTTTTAAATTTTCAAAATTTTAGCATTTCTTGAGATTTCAGTTCTTCGATATTTCAATTTTTCAATTTTCGGAGTTTTTAAATTTTCGATTTTCCAATTTATTTTTTAATTTTCCGATTTTTTGAAAAAATTTATAAACATCGAAACATCCGAATCTCGATAAATCGAGATCTTAAAAAAATTGAAAAATCGAAAAAAAAAAAAAATTAAACTTCTATATTTAAAACTGAAAATTCGAGAAATCGAAAAATCTAGAACTATAAAAATTGAAAAATTAAAATATCGAAAAGTTGAAAAATTGAAAAATTAAAATATCGTAAAGTTGAAAAATTGAAAAATAGGAACAAAGCAGACGAAAAATTGAAAAAACGAAAAACTGAAATCCAAAAAACAGAAAATCGAAAAATTCAAAATTCGACAAATCGAAAAGTCGAAAAATCGAAATATTGAAAAATCTCAAAACTGAAAGAAGAAATCAAAGAACAAAGTCGAAAAATCGAAGAATTGAAGAACTGAAAAATCGAAGCTCTGTGAGGTTAAGAAATGGGAAAATCAAAAATAGATTAATTGAGAAGTAGAAAAACTGAAAATTTATCAACGTCAAAAATTGAAAAATTGAAAATAAAAAAATAAAATACTCAAGAACTGAAAAATCAAAAAATCGAGAAATCCCAACATAAAAAAATAAAAATTCGAAAATTTAGGATTTAAAAATCAAAAATCCGAAAAATCGAAAAATCGATAAATCGAAACCCCAGAATTTAGACAATAGAAAAATTGAAAAAACAGATATGTGAATCGAAACATCGAAAAATTGGAAAATCGAAACATTGAAAAGCCCAAAAGCAAAAAAGCGAAGAACCGAGAAATCCAAAAATGAAATATTGAATTTTCTGATTTTTCAGTTTTTCGATTCTTCAATTTTTCTTTAATTTTTCAATTTTTCGATACTTCAGTTAAAAAATCCCATTTTTTAGTATTTCGTCTCTTCGATTTTTCGAGTTCTGGATTTTTCGATTTCTGATATTTTACTTTTGGAATTTTCAATTTTTCGTTTTTTAAAATTTTAGGATTTCTTGAGATTTCAGTTCTTCGATATTTCAATTTTTCAATTTTCGGAGTTTTTTAAATTTTCTATTTTCCAATTTATTTATTAATTTTCCGATTTTTCGAAAAATTGATAAACATCAAAAATTTAAAAATTCGGAAAATTGACAAATTAAAAAATGGAAGAACTGAAAATTCGAGAAATCAAACAATCTAGAACTTTAAAATTTGAAAAATTGAAAAATAAAAAAGGCGAAAAATTGAAAAAACGAAAAACTGAAAATCCAAAAAAAAGAAATATCGAAAAAATATCCAAAATTTTAGAAATAAAAAAACTGGAAAATCGAAAAATCGAAGTATTGAAAAACTGAAAAATCGAGACTCTGTGAAGTCAAAAAATCGGAAAATCAAAAATAGATTAATTGAGACATCGGAAAACTGAAAATTCACCTAGTAAAACATGTATTTGTCGTTTTTTTGGGAAAAAAATTCTTCTGGTACTTACCTTGAACCGACGTCATTTGTATCAAGGCGGTTTGAGGACACTCGGTAACGGAAATCGCATCCCATGTGCCTTTCCATGGTTCGATGGGTTCTGGTGGTTCAAATCGTCGGCTTTCAACTGGTGGTTTGGCGTATGGTATACCCTCGAAGGCTGCGAAAAGGTTGCGTTTGGCTGATTTTTTGTGGTAGCCGCGGATTTTGCCCAAGGGGGTGGTTACCACCGGGCGGTCTTTTTGGGTTTCGGCATAGATGATGGAAATTAGAGGGAAATAGAAAAGAAATAGGAGACACGTTTTCATTGTTGGGGTGTTGGTGAGAAGTGTACTGATTTATGGTTATGAAATGAAGTGGATTTAAGTGTGTAAGATAAGATTTCATTTAGAGGTTTATTTTTGTTTGTTCTATGTTAGATTAGGTTAGAAAAATGTGGATTGAAAGATTTTTCAAACCAATTAAACTGGTTCTAATGATGATACGAATATCCACTTGTTGTTGGTTGCTAAGCACACTATGTTAGCTGAGTCAAAGTCCTGGTGATTTTATTTTTTTCCAATCTCATTAACTCATCAACTAAGTAGGGTAATGATATTGATTGTTATCAGGTTTTTGTTGTTGAATTTAATTGTAGATGTTTTTGGACATAAATAAAACTGTAGAAAGTGCATGCGATACTCTTACACAATATTTATCGTGTAACTCTACTCATATCGGTACTTATCACTATTCTTAATTTTTTTTTTGTTGAGATTGTTAGCCGGTTTCGTTTTTTATTTTTTGCCAGTCTGTGATTCTTGTAAACGACAACAAACACTAAAGAAATTTAACGATGATAATTATTTTGAAATCCAACCAAATGAATCATAAGCTGTGTTTGAAATTCTTTTCTCTGCGAAGTTATAACAACAGAAGCGCATACATTTCCGATTCCGATAATTCCCTTTGCTGGCGCTTCCTGGAATTATTTCTTGCTCGCTTTACTTGTTCAGTCGCAGGTTGAAAATTGAATTGCTTACAAGTGTGGCTCGTTCCAGTTCTGATTTATTGGGCGCATTTGTGCTCGAAGAATCACACAAAAATTCCAAAGACGTCTTCTATTACGTTCTAGGTAAGACTAACGGTTGTCTATTAATTGAATATTTTTTATGTGGAGGCGGGGGCGGCGGTTGCGAAAACATTTTTTTTTTGTTTCATTGCAACTAAATATGTGGACAGTAGTTTTGTACAATGTTTTGCAATAATGACTTACGATTAAAAATATATACCGGGTGGACCAGTTTTACATTTTATTAAATCTGACAAATTTATTATTATTTCGTATTAATAACAGTCAAAAATATATAGTCACACTACTATGGAACCATATTTATATAATTTCCATTATTTTTAAATTCGCCACCAATAATTTTAAAAAACCGTCTTCGACTACAAAGGGTGGGGGTGAAGCGAGAAGTCGGCGGCGGATATCAAAGTTACTTCTTTTGGCTGGTGGCCTCTGCTGAGTTCTGTCAGGAAGTTGTTAATACGTTGGTGGTGGCGGTGTTTATTTTTAACAGTAATTAATATTTTAGTGTTTGTTGAAGCTGTAACGTTGTGAATTTTTGGGGTGAGTTTTTTTAGATTTACAAAATCGGGATAATTCTTTTAAAACTACAATACTGTACGAAACAAGAAAAATTAATTTCGATTTGATTTATCATAGTTCTAACTTGTTCATTTGTGGTTTTGTATTAATTCTGCATTTTTTTGTTATTTTTATGGTGGGTGCAGTTTTTTTCCGTTAGCAACGTTATATTAAAGTCAGTTGGTGAATCAACCAATCAGAGCGCAGATAGCAACAACGACAGTGTTTCATTGGTTGTTTTTAGCCGATTTTAAAAGTAGCATTTGTAAAAAACATTTTTTATCGTGGTACCTTTTCTTTCTGAAAGTAAGTAGTTTTTTTTAATTTTAAAGTTTATGTGAATATAACACCTATTTTTGGAATGAGTTGCGGTGTTGGTGGATGCTTAAAATCTGAAAATCTAATAAATTCTTTCGTCGCCTGAGAACTTGTTGGATCCACAGACCGGAGTGCACGCAGGCCAATGTCGACTCTAAGCGTGCAGAATTATTTACAAACATAATATCACATCTGATATGTTTTACTCGATTTTGACATGCAACAATTTTTTTTGTTTAACCAAGGATTAATTCGTTAAAAGTCCTAAATTAGCAATATTCGATTTTTCGATTTTTCGATGTTACGATTTTTTTTGTTATTCGATTTTTCAATTTTCCAATTTTTTAAATTTTCGTGTTTCGGTTTCTCGATTTTTTTTAGATTTTCGAATTTTTTTTTGATTGTTTGATGTTTGAAATTCTCCATGTTTCAATTTTATGATATTTTAATTTTTCAATGTTTTGAATTTTCGATTTGTCTATTTTTTATTTTCCTATTTCTCGACTTCCCAAAGTTTCGATTTTTCAGTCTTCAGCTCTTCAAATTTTCGATTTTTTAAGTTTGTGTTTTTTCAAGACTTTGTTTTTTTTTAATTTCCCAATTTTTGGATATTTCGTGCAATTTTGTGAATCTCAGTTTTCGATTCTTCTATTTTTCAACTCTTCGAAATTTCAGTTTTGGGATTTTTTGGTATTTCAACATTGAATTGAAGAGGACAAAAATTGAGAAATCGTGTCATTTAAACATCGGAAAATTGAGAAATCGAAGAATAAAAAAAATCGAGAAATCGAAAAATTAAAGAATGAAAAACTGAAAAAGACTCTTATTTTCAATATTTTTCAATTTTTATATATTTCTCACTTTTTAATCTTTTTATTTTTCAATTTTTCGTTTCTTCAATTTTCCTTTTTTTTGACATCCAAATTTCAGGTTTTTCAAAGTTTTCATTTTATACTTTTTCGATTTTTCGTTTGTAATTTTTCAATTTTACAAGTTTGCAATTTTTCCACTTTTTTATTTCTAAAAGTTGAAAAATCGAGAAATTGAAAAAAAAATTAAAAATCAAAAAACTGAAAAATCAAGAAAGCAGAAAATAGAAAAATTGCAAATCAAACCAGTAAAGAAACGAATGAATGAAATATTGAGAAACTTAAAAATCGAAAAACAATAATGAACCGAAAAATTGGAAATTTCAAAAATTGTAAAATCGAAAAATTGAAGAACCGTCAAAATTGTAAAGTCCAAAAAATGTAACATTTATCGACAGTTTTATACTTCGATTTCTCAAATTTTCAACTTTTCGATATCTTAATTTTTCACTTTTTAAAATTTTAAGCTTTCCAATTTCTGGAGTATCAGTTATCAATTTTTCAACTTTTCGATGTTTTAATTCTCCGTTATTTCAATTTTTCAATTTTCCAGTTTTTCTTGAAAAATTGAAAAATCTCAAGTTTAACGAAAAATTGAAAATTCAAAAAGTAAAAAAACGAGAAATCAAAAAATCCAAAAGCCAAAAAATTGAAATATTGGAAAATAACAAAACTGAAAGAAATATCCAAAAAATAGAGAAATTAAAAAAATGGAAAATTGAGACATCGAAAAACTAAGAAAGAAAAATCAGGTACTTTTTCTTTTTCAACGTTTCGTTTCCTCAATTGTTCAAATTCTTGCTTTTTATTTTTCATTTTCCCAATTTTTTAATTTTTAATTTCCCGTTTTTTGTTAGCATTTTCGTTTTTTCATTTTCTTTATTTTTTCAATGTTACTTTCGATTTCCCGTTTATTCGATTTTTCAAATTTCCAACTTTTGATTTTTCAGTTCCTCAGTTTCCTAATTTTAAAACTTTTCGCTTTTTCAAATTTTCGTTTCTTCAATTTTCCTTTTTTTATCTCCAATTTTTAGGTTCTTTAAAGCTTTCATTTTGTACTTTTCCGATTTTTTCATTTCCTTTATTTTTTCAATGTAACTTTCGATTTCCCGTTTATTCGATTTTTCAAATTTCCAACTTTTGATTTTTCAATTCCTCAGTTTTCTAATTATAAAATGTTTCGATTTTTCAATTTTCCTTTTTTTTATATCCAATTTTTAGGTTCTTCAAAGCTTTCATTTTATACTTTTTCGATTTTTCAATTTTTTTTTATTTCTAAAAGTTGAAAAATCGAGAAATTGAAAAAAATTAAAAATCAAAAAAGCGGAAAATAAAATAAAAAATGCAAATCAAAGCACTAAAGAAACGAAAGAATGAAACATTGACAAACTTAAAAATCAAAAAATTGGAAAGAAAAAAAACGACACAAATCTAAAAATTGGAAATTTCAAAAATTGTAAAATCGAGAAATTCAAAAACCGTCAAAAATGTAAGGTCCAAAACATGTAACATTTAGTGACATTAAAAGATCGAAAAATTGAAAAATCGAAATACTGACAATCGGAAAATCGAAAATCCAAAATTTAAAAAATCGAGAAATTGAAATTCGCAAAAGTGAAAATCGAAAATCTGAAAAATCGGGGATTTGAAAAATTAAAAAATCGGGACATCGAAAAATCAAAAAATTCAGAATGTGAAATAAGCCACAATCGAAAAAAAAATCGGAAAATTGAAAAATTGAAATAAAAAAGAACTGAAAACTCGAGAAATCGAAAAACATGAAATGTTAAAAATTGAAAAATTAAAACATCAAAATCGAAGAATAAATCACTCGAAAAATTGAAAAATCTCAAGTTTAACGAAAAAATGAAAATCCAAAAATCGAAAAATTGAAAAATCTAAATATTTCAAAATCGTAAAATTGAAGAGGACAAAAATTGAGAAATCGTGTCATTTAAACATCGGAAAATTGAGAAATCGAAGAATCAAAAAATCGAGAAATCGAAAATTTAAAGAATGAAAAAACTGAAAAAGTCTCTTATTTTCAATATTTTTCAAGTTTTATATTTCTCACTTTTTAATCTTTTTCATTTCTTCAATTTTCCTTTTTTTTGACATCCAAATTTCAGGTTTTTCAAAGCTTTCATTTTATACTTTTTCGATTTAGTGACATTATAAGATCGAAAAATTGAAAATCGGAATATGGAAAAATTGAAAAACTGAAAAATCGAGGAATTGAAAAATTTAAAAATCGGAACATCGAAAAATCAAAAAATTGAGAACGTGAAATAAGCCACAATCCAAAAAATTTAAAAATTCTGAAAATTGAAAAATTGGAATAAAGAAGAACTGAAAACTCGAGAAATAAAAAATTGAAATATTTAAAATTGAAAAATTAAAAAAACATCGAAAAGTTGAGAAACTGAGAAATCGAAGTATAAATCAGTCGAAAAATTGAAAAATCTGAAGTTTAACGAAAAATCGAAAATCTAAAAAATTAAGAAATAAAAAAATTGGTAA